CGTTACTCAAAATCCAGTCCAGGCAATAGTCGATATCATAATCCATCCAAAACAAGAACATAAACAGGAACACAGAAGTGGCGTGATAAATACAAGGACTCCGTGACACATACTGAAACAGACAGGGTTATATACACAGGGAAATGACAATGCTAATGGGGAACAGGCTGAGTGCAATAATTAGTGATAAGAGACAGCTGAGTGCAATGAAAAGACAAGGATCATGGGGGATGTAGTTCAAGAGTGTGATGGACACCGTGGGGAAGGAGGACATCTAGTGGTGACCCAAGGAACATAAACCAGACACTGTGACATAACCCCCCCTCTACGGAGCGGCTACCAGACGCTCCAAGACGTGACAGACAAACAAGTGTCCAGGCGGGAGGTGGACTGGTGGAGGATCAGGGGGAGGGATGGGGGGCCAGGTCCATGGAGAGAAACGGGGACAGGGAGTGACAGTTCATCTGGCGGCCAGGGCGGAGACGACTTTCCCTCGGGCGGCCAGGACGGAGACTTTCCCTCGGGCGGCCAGGGCGGAGACTTTCCCTCGGGCGGCCAGGGCGGAGACTTTCCCTCGGGCGGCCAGGGCGGAGAATATCCCTCGGGCGGCCAGGGCGGAGACTTTCCCTCGGGCGGCCAGGGCGGAGAATTTCCCTCGGGCGGCCAGGGCGGAGAATTTCCCTCGGGCGGCCAGGGCGGTGAATACCCTTCAGGCGGCCAGGGCGAATCAGGCAGTGCAGGCGGCCGGGACGGGACAGGTCCTTTGGACGACCAGGGCGAAGACCCCTCGGGCGGCCATAGCAGAGGCTCTGGAACAGACGGCACTGGCTCCGGCTCTCGAACAGCAGGCACTGGCTCCGGCTCTCGAACAGAAGGCACTGGCTCCGGCTCTCGAACAGAAGGCACTGGCTCCGGCTCCCGAACAGCAGGCACTGGCTCCGGCTCCCGAACAGCAGGCACTGGCTCCGGCTCCCGAACAGCAGGCACTGGCTCCGGCTCCCGAACAGCAGGCACTGGCTCCGGCTCCCGAACAGCAGGCACTGGCTCCGGCTCCCGAACAGCAGGCACTGGCTCCGGCTCCCGAACAGCAGGCACTGGCTCCGGCTCCCGAACAGCAGGCACTGGCTCCGGCTCCCGAACAGCAGGCACTGGCTCCGGCTCCCGAACAGCAGGCACTGGCTCCGGCTCCCGAACAGCAGGCACTGGCTCCGGCTCCCGAACAGCAGGCACTGGCTCCGGCTCCCGAACAGCAGGCACTGGCTCCGGCTCCCGAACAGCAGGCACTGGCTCCGGCTCCCGAACAGCAGGCACTGGCTCCGGCTCCCGAACAGCAGGCACTGGCTCCGGCTCCCGAACAGCAGGCACTGGCTCCGGCTCCCGAACAGCAGGCACTGGCTCCGGCTCCCGAACAGCAGGCACTGGCTCCGGCTCCCGAACAGCAGGCACTGGCTCCGGCTCCCGAACAGCAGGCACTGGCTCCGGCTCCCGAACAGCAGGCACTGGCTCCGGCTCCCGAACAGCAGGCACTGGCTCCGGCTCCCGAACAGCAGGCACTGGCTCCGGCTCCCGAACAGCAGGCACTGGCTCCGGCTCCCGAACAGCAGGCACTGGCTCCGGCTCTCGAACAGCAGGCACTGGCTCCGGCTCTCGAACAGCAGGCACTGGCTCCGGCTCTCGAACAGCAGGCACTGGCTCCGGCTCTCGAACAGCAGGCACTGGCTCCGGCTCTCGAACAGCAGGCACTGGCTCCGGCTCTCGAACAGCAGGCACTGGCTCCGGCTCTCGAACAGCAGGCACTGGCTCCGGCTCTCGAACAGCAGGCACTGGCTCCGGCTCTCGAACAGCAGGCACTGGCTCCGGCTCCGGCTCCAGCTCCGGAACGGGTATTGACACTGGCTCTGGTTCGGGAACAGCAGACACTGGCTCCGGCTCTGGAACAGCGGACCCTGGCTCCGGCTCTGGAGCAGCAGACACAGGCATGTCCGGGATTCGAGTCAATTGCTCCAAAAAGTCCAGTATACCCTTGGCGGCCACACAAATGGGCATCACATGAACAGTCTCTGACTGGGCAGACGGGATGTGAATAGTCTCAGGCTGGGCAGACGTGACCTGAACAGTATCTGACTGGGCAGACGTGACGTGAACACTCTCTGGCTGGGCAGACGTGACGTGAACAGTCTCTGGCTGGGCAGACGTGACGTGAACAGTCTCTCGCTGGGCAGACGTGACGTGAACAGTCTCTCGCTGGGCAGACGTGACGTGAACAGTCTCTCGCTGGGCAGACGTGACGTGAACAGTCTCTCGCTGGGCAGACGTGACGTGAACAGTCTCTGGCTCAGCAGTCGTGCGTCTCTTACCCCCTCTCCGTCTGCGACGGTGAGACGGTGGCTCCAATTCGTCCCTCACCCTCCCAGAGTCGAAGGGGGGCCATGGTGGAGAGTGGTGTTGGACTCCCTCTCGACCACCAACTCCTCTGCGACCTCCCCGGGTCCCACGAAAAATGACTAGACGGGTTCCCTCAAACATATCTCTCCTCTCCCGCTCAGTGGCTGGGGAGGAGAAGTTGGAACACATACCGCTGGATCTGTGTGTGACGGAGTCCTTCTGTCACGAACCACACCGGGAAACACAGGAGAAGATCCAATTGCAGAAAGTATGTTTAATAATGGAAATCCGTTACTCAAAATCCAGTCCAGGCAATAGTCGATATCATAATCCATCCAAAACAAGAACATAAACAGGAACACAGAAGTGGCGTGATAAATACAAGGACTCCGTGACACATACTGAAACAGACAGGGTTATATACACAGGGAAATGACAATGCTAATGGGGAACAGGCTGAGTGCAATAATTAGTGATAAGAGACAGCTGAGTGCAATGAAAAGACAAGGATCATGGGGGATGTAGTTCAAGAGTGTGATGGACACCGTGGGGAAGGAGGACATCTAGTGGTGACCCAAGGAACATAAACCAGACACTGTGACAGTATTGTTCAAAACGTATAACTTTGATGAAAGGTTTTGATCCTTTAAATGTTGACTACTGTAGAATCACACTTACATATTATGGAACCATTATCAAAATGATTTAAAAAAAACTAATTATGCAATTATTACAAATACTTCTCTTTCTTACTATTCCTGAATGTAACTGCCCACAAAAGGGAGACCATTAAGCCACTTTACTTACTCATCAAAATGAATTACCTTTTGGGTTACTCTCTGCATTATGTCCTCATCATATGATTTGATATACTAGATAAAATATGAATCTATAATTTTTAAAGATGGTGCTGCACTTATATAATATAAAAGTAAGGAGGTGGGTGCCATTTTGTTTGAGGGAAAATGTTTTCTCCTGTTTTCCTGTGTTGTCAGGGAGCCAGAGAAGCTCAATTGTGGTTTATTTAATAATTGTTTTGGTGTATGTACAGGCAAGTTATACCTAAAGTTAAGTTAGGAGTCCATTTGGCCCTGCTCCCTCTCGTACCATGGCGGTAGTTAAACAAAATCAGGGTTTCGGGATAAGTTTTGAGTTGACAAAACCAATACAATCATCTTTATTGGTACCATGACAACGACCATCAACTTTCTCTGTCAACTCAGGCTTTAATCCTGAGCTCGTGGAGCGACATAAGTAGCGAACATGAAACATGCAATTCACTTCTCACGAGAGAGTCAGTGCGATTTCATTTTCTCTTCTCCCAAAGATTAAGACATTGAAGAATATTTATTATATACTGTAAATGCATTTACATAGCAAGAAGAAAATATCTTACTATATCAGTGCAAGTGAAAGTTATCAAGAAGATAACATATATAGCGACACAGAGATTTGAACATGTCAGCTCACATGTAGTCATCTTTAAAGCTCTATGTATTAATTATAAAGCGTATTTATCTGTATATACGCATTTAGACTAAATGCTTAATAATAATTGTTGAAAGAAAATTGCTCATGTGTAATGGATTAAATGTGTAATAATTACATAAATAATATACAATTATTAAAATTATGCCAGATGATATTGTGAAACTGTGGAAGTGACTTTTTTGCGTCAGGCGTGTCACTTTGCTCACAGCTGACTGGTCCAATTTTGGGTTGACGTCTCTTACCCAGAACATAACCTGCTCTAAAACAGGTTATCTGTGGAGTGGAAGTTACTATTGCAATAAACAGCTAAAAGCCAACTTTCATGGTGCCTACAACCCCGGGTCGGCACTAACTAAACTGAAACACCTGATACCCACCTAAACCAGCTTGGTATAGGCACCTGAAATTTACATTTATTGTTTTGTTTATTAAATAAAGAACAGCACAAGTTCATTATCTGGCAGTGTGTTATTGGAGACAAGAAGTTCTTCTGCTCTCTCCCCAAATTTTGTTACCACTGACCCGATTTACCCATAATCTAAAGAGGGCAACTAGTACACTATTCAGAAATATTCTAGCCGTTTCTACTTTTATTTTTTCAATCCTCTAATTGAAATGGTTAAAGCTAAACATAAACATGTTGTTTCAACTGGAAGTTAATTTGAATTTCTTTTCTTTTTTTCCTTTCTAAATCACACCTCTGTGTTACTCTTCCACAAAAAACTTTCCATCCTGTTTGATCCAGTTACACCAATCAGTTTTCTATTATCAACAATGAAAGGGAGGTTATTGCATTCATGTATTCATCTTGTTCAGGAACCAGATCATCTTTCTATACTGAAAGCCTGTTATAGAAATAATTCCTTGAGCAGCAACATAAACGTATTCATTTTTTTAAACAATAGAACTGAAAAGAAGCGGAAAACAGAAATAATCCTTTTTTTAATGCTTTTGAATAAACATGAATCTGATTGTCTTTGTTACCATAGTAAAAGATGTAGTATATAGCAATTCATGTAAATGATTCAATAATGCTTTTTTTTTATTCTAGACAAAGACTACATGAGATAAGAAGAAAATTAGAAACCCAAAACCAGTATGACATCAATACCACATTCATTAAAATGGCATTAGACAAAATGCATGTAAAATGTTGTGGTACTAAACTAAAAGTGTGTGAGGACACTCATCAGAGGAACAAGTATCAGCATCAGAGAACCACACAGACAAGAAGCCTCAGATGCCTTCACTTGTTCTGGGACCCACTTATCTGTGAACAGGGAATATAATGCAATGCAGTGAAATGTAATGTATTCATGACAGAAATCTTCAGAAACTTTTATTTATAAATGATTAAAATAATGAGATGTTCACCTGTGTTCCCTTCAGACAACACCAGAGGACCCATGGATATGGAAGCGTCATGGAAGTCCAGAGACCTGCGCTCTCTCCACTGGTGTCCAGAGCCACAGTCCTAATAGAGGAAATAGCAAAATCCAGCTGTGTGAATCTCTGTTAAATATCACTGAACAAACATGAAACAAAGAGTTGCAGAAAGTCTCCAGCAGAGGGCAGAAAAAATATATTTTAGCAGAAAAAAACAGGCAGACTTACACACTGACACTGAAGCATTTAACAATCTAATATAGAATTTAACAGTCATTTTTATATATTTAAAGTGATACTTTACATTTATTATCAATCACTCATAAAACATTGTCATTATGAGAGGTTTTGTAAATTCACCGTTGAGCAGCGATTGCTTGACAGAAGGCAAAGGTGAACAGCGCAGTGTAGGTAAAGCCTAGTGGAGTTTGCAGTGAAGATAAACATCCTGAAGGAGAAACGGCTGGATGTCGAGACGCCGTTCTGCAGCAGATCCACTGTGCCGTCATTCGGATTGGGACACCTGAGAATATCAATAAATGACAATCAACAAATCAAATTATTTTCTTTCTTTCCACTGTATAAAAGTGGAATCCTGTACTTTAGTCTTGAAATCCTGAGAGATAAAGTATCTCTGGCAATCCTAAAGTCAGGTCAAGTCATCTTCATTTATATAGCGCTTTTAACAATGGATTGTTTCAAAGCAGCTTTACAGAGATAAACATATAATTTAAGGTAACAGATTGTTTTGGCGTTATAGCGGTTCTTGAATAATGTTACTTCCAGCTAAAGTTAACTTTGATTGATTCACCTCCGTCGAAATGATCAGACTTTAAACGCGAACCTGTGATTAACGCTGACGGCGTTCACATGCGCATTCAGAATTCTATAGTTATGTGCTTTTTAAAATATGTGCGCAGGTTTGTAATTCATACAACCCAGCCTAAACAAACTACTTTTCTTGCCTATAAATTTTGATACAGAATTTGTTTTATTTTATCACTTCGGGGTACGCGAGCCGGAATTCACAACGCTTTATCTGTAGAGTGGGAAAGGGTTTAAAAAAATCCCTGCTTTACTCTGAAAGGATGAGATCCCAGCGGAGGCTGTAATCAGGATCATTCACAGGTGTAGCCCAACACGTGTCCATCACCAGGGCGAACTGGCGGCTGTCGACCCCCTCAACACGAACTTCCACATGCATCTCCTGGTCGAGCTCTGCATCCACTCTACCAGTGAAGGGCCGGGTAAACTCATCATCCTCATATGGGATCATCCGGACCTGATATCTGCCTTCACCAGCGGGGAGAATCTTGTGCACAATACTGATGAAATGTTCCCAAAAAAAATCAAGTACAATTAAGTAAAATCGTGTACATTTTTGTATTTGCCTCAACTCAATTTAGAAATGTAAACATTTCAAGAGCATAGCATATATATATATATATTCTTAGAGTATATTTGCATTTGTTTACTAATTGTTATACTGTGCATTCGTTTTTCCTGCTTAAAAGATTCCCACCTCTCCAATGGGTTGATGTTCACATTCATGGAAAGTGTTTGTGATTGAGGATAAGCACAGCTGAAAGAAAGCTTCAGGATTTTCTCTCTGCTAATGAGACCTTCTGACCTCGGTGTCCCCAGAATAAAGTTATCATAGATGAAGTGGGTGCCGTTAGCCTGATGGAACATGGATATTATATTTGAACATATTAACCTGTTAACATTTTAACCACAGACTAAAGAGTTTGTTAGTGGGGGTTCCCTGTATATACAAGAGAATAGCTTTGCCTAAATGACTGATCATGAGTCTCTTGTGAGTGAACACTATATTAAAAAGTTATCAAAAAGAATTACTGCTTTCACCATCTTTACATGTAAATCTTTACAGCAAGAGCAGTATCATTAAACCAACATTAGAAATTACAACATCAATTTTGTCTAGATCAAAACCAACTGGCATCACATAAGACATTTTTGTTTGTTTGATTTTTTCAGTGAAAACCTGAGATGATAGTACATTGAATATCATTGTATGTAATATATCCTACCAGAAGATTTGTACCACAAATGTGTTCATCATTATCAAAATGGAATTCCACTCTGCCATTCCGGACCGTTGCTTTGCAGCCGGGATCATTGAGGTGTAAGACATCAGCTGGAAAACCAGCCTCAAAGAGCTGACAGCGAGACACAGACATAGAGCCAGAGCTGCTTTCACAGGTTTCTGAGAAATCTGAGAGAGAAAAACACCAAAAGATGGTCAGAATTAATATTATTGTTAATAATAATAATAATAATAATAACCAATGAATTGCAGAAAATGTTTTTAGTAGAATGAGTTTCACCAAAAGAATCTGGACTGGTCTGGTTGTTGTAACACAAACAGCCATAGACGCCGTTTTTCTCTCCACACCATTCATCCTCTGTGCAGTTGAGTTGGGCACAGGGGTCTAAATGAGGAAAACATAGAATAAACAAAACAAAGGGAAAAGCAGGGGCCATCAACTAAACATTCTGTATTATGTACAAATATGGCCAGTAAACCCACTTGACGTTGGTTTATTCGTTAAAAATATCAATGAAAGAGTCAAAAAATGCCAATTCATGTTTATAAATGAGCAGAAAACATGTATGCTAATATGATTTGCAGGTCTGATTCTTACTCATCTTTACTAAAATAATTCAGCAATTAATTTACTACACTCTAGTGAAAAAGTGTGATGAACTGGGAGGAAAATTAAGAATTACTTTAATGAAAATACATGTCAAAAAAGTATACACTCCTGTTCAAACGTATGTTTTTAGGAAGGATTCTTTTTTATTTGAAGTTATTCAGCAAGGATGCATGAAATTAATCAAAAGCAACAGTATAGAGTCGTGTAACAAAATATTTATGTTTCAAATAAATGCTGTTTTTCTATACATTAAAGAATCCTCAAAAAAAATGTGACAGTTTCCACAAAAAAATTAAAGGCACAATATGTAAGTTTCGCCGCTAGAGGTCACTTATTCAAAACAATAACAAAGGCTATAAATATATATATATATATATATACACTCCCCGGCCAATTTATTAGGTACACCTGTCCAACTGCTCGTTAACACTTAAGTTCTAAGCAGCCAATCACATGGCGGCAACTCAGTGCATTTAGGCATGTAGACATGGTCAAGACAATCTCCTGCAGTTCAAACCGAGCATCAGTATGGGGAAGAAAGTTGATTTGAGTGACTTTGAACGTGGCATGATTGTTGGTGCCAGAAGGGCTGGTCTGAGTATTTCAGAAACTGCTAATCTACTGGGATTTTCACGCACAACCATCTCTAGGGTTTACAGAGAATGGTCCGAAAAAGAAAAAACATCCAGTGAGCGGCAGTTCTGTGGGCGGAAATGCCTTGTTGATGCCAGAGGTCAGAGGAGAATGGCCAGACTGGTTCGAGCTGATAGAAGGGCAACAGTGACTGAAATAACCACTCGTTACAACCGAGGTATGCAGCAAAGCATTTGTGAAGCCACAACACGCACAACCTTGAGGCGGATGGGCTACAACAGCAGAAGACTCCACCGGGTACCACTCATCTCCACTACAAATAGGAAAAAGAGGCTACAATTTGCAAGGGCTCACCAAAATTGAACAGTTGAAGACTGGAAAAATGTTGCCTGGTCTGATGAGTCTCGATTTCTGTTGAGACATTCAGATGTTAGAGTCAGAATTTGGCGTAAACAGAATGAGAACATGGAACCATCATGCCTTGTTACCACTGTGCAGGCTGGTGGTGGTGGTGTAATGGTGTGGGGGATGTTTTCCTGGCACACTTTAGGCCCCTTAGTGCCAATTGGGCATCGTTTAAATGCCACGGCCTACCTGAGCATTGTTTCTGACCATGTCCATCCCTTTATGGCCACCATGTACCCATCCTCTGATGGCTACTTCCACCATGTCACAAAGCTCTAATCATTTCAAATTGGTTTCTTGAACATGACAATGAGTTCACTGTACTAAAATGGCCTCCACAGTCACCAGATCTCAACCCAATAGAGCATCTTTGGGATGTGGTGGAACGGGAGATTCGCATCATGGATGTGCAGCTGACAAATCTGCGGCAACTGTGTGATGCCATCATGTCAATATGGACCAAACTCCCTGAGGAATGCTTCCAGCACCTTGTTGAATCTATGCCACGAAGAATTGAGGCAGTTCTGAAGGCAAAAGGGGGTCCAACCCGTTACTAGCATGGGGTACCTAATAAAGTGGCCGGTGAGTGTATATATATATATATATATATATATATAATAAAAGCTGGATGACTTGTTTTACAAAATGGCATGCAATTATTTTTTAAATATATTGTATGGTGGAAAAAAATGCTTTCTGATTATGCTGTTAGCCACTTGACAAAATAGTGTTGTCACAGTCCTGTCTATTGTCTAGCCCCTCCCATATTGTTATCTGATTATTGGTTAATTTGTCCCACCTGTCCTTCTCGTTACCCTCCTTTGTTTGTTCCCCTATTTAGCCTCCCTGTGTTTGTAGTCCTGAGCTGGTTCGTTTGTCCAAGTTACCTGTTCCTTGTGTTTCCTTCCCGCTTGCTCACAGTGCTTTTTGAGTTTGTACCTTATCTACCTGTCACTAATAAATTTCCTCTGCATTTGAATCCTCGTCTCAGTTCTGACTATTCCGGGACAGAACGAACCAGACAAGTATGTGGATTCAGCAGAGTGAGTTTTTGCCTCCGGGAAAGGATCTTCAATCTCCTAGTTTGAATACTTTGCTAGATGCGCTCAGAGGACTGAGGAGACCATGGCAGCCGGCGGTCAGCCGGGAGGAGGTAAGCCCAGGACTGCGATGGTGACTGGCAACCATTATAAAGCTCCGATTCACCCACAATATTTTGAGGGAACCCGCTTGCCCAGATTTTCTGGGACTCGGGGAGGTCTAAGAGGGGGACATGGTCGTCAGGAACTCCAACGTCATTCCACAGGCCAATCGGCCTTCAGCCAGGTACCTGTGCACCTGGTCCCGTCCAGCACAGAACCTTTGCCGCTGGTCCCGTCCAGCACAGTGCCTTCGCCGCTGGTCTCGTCCAGCACAGTGCCTTCGCCGCTGGTCCCGTCCAGCACAGAGCCTTCGCCGCTGGTCCCGTTTAGCCCTGCCTGCGCTTCACGTCAGACCTGCCGAGCCTGCGCTTCACGTCAACCCTGCCGGGCCTGCGCTTCATGCCCCGTCTGCCCAGCCAAGCCCGGTGGTCCAAGAGGAACCGACGTCAGGGGTCTCAATTCCAGTGGTCCGGGAGGGCCTGACGTCAGGGGTCTCAAGTTCAGTGGTCCAGGAGGACTCTACTTCGGGGGTCATGGTTCCGGTGGTGGCCAAAGAGGCGGCAGCACCGCCGTGACCACGTAAATGGCGGAGGAGGAGGAGAACTACCCCAGTACCTACTGTTCCCACCATCAGTCCTGCCATATCCAAGAGAATGGTTCTTTCTTTCAATGCATTGGCCACGCTGCATGCATGGAAGAAGCACATGGTGTCAGCCGATCCTGAGACTGTTCACGTTACTTCTGCCGATCCAGAGACCGTTCACGTCACTTCTGCCGATCCAGAGACCGTTCACGTCACGTCTGCCGATCCAGAGACTGTTCACGTCCCTTTCATCGAGCCAGTGTCTCCGGACAAGATGGCCGCCACACCTGAACCTGAGCCCTCAGCGGAGATGGCCGCCGCCACACCTGAACCTGAGCCCTCAGCGGAGATGGCCACCGCCACGCCTGTGCCCGAGCCGGTGTCTGTTCCTGAGCCCTCAGCGGAGATGGCCGCCGCCACGCCTGTGCCCGAGCCGGTGTCTGTTCCTGAGCCCTCAGCGGAGATGGCCGCCGCCACGCCTGTGCCCGAGCCGGTGTCTGTTCCTGAGCCCTCAGCGGAGATGCCCGCCGCCACGCCTGTGCCCGAGCCGGTGTCTGTTCCTGAGCCTGGGTCTGCTCCACTCTGGTGGTCTCCGCCATGGTCGCCCGAAGGGCCTGCTCCGCCCTGTTCACCTACACAGCCTGCGTCGTCTTGGTTGTCTCCACCATGGTCGCCCAAGTGGTCGTCACAGCCATGGCAGCCCGAAGGATCTGCTCCGCCCTGGTCGCCTGCACAGCCTGTGTCGCCCTGGTCTTCTCCACCATGGCCACCCGATGGACTGTCATCTCCGCCCTGGCCGCCCGATGGACTCTCTGTTTTGCCCTGGCCGCCGGCTAAGCCGTCAACCCTGGTTCCTGTTCCCTTTCATGGACCTGGCCCCCATCCATCCCGCTGATCTTCCACCGTTCCACCTCTCTCCTTGACTCTCTTGTTTTATAGTTGTGTCTTGGAGCGTCTGGTAGCCGCTCGGTAGAGGGGGGGTTATGTCACAGTGTCTGGTTTGTCATGCGCTTGTGTTCTAGTTCTGTTTATTGCTCTCCTGTCTATTGTACAGCTTCTCCCATCTTGTTATCTGATTATTGGTACTTTAATTTAAATTAAAGTAAAAATAGATGATTTCTCTGGATTTAAACAGTGTCAAGTCAACAAGTCAAAAGATACAACATTGGGTTACACTTTATTTTAAGGTGTCATTTTGTTGCATTGTAATTATATATTCAAGTTATATTAATTAACATGTACTTACTGTAGGGTTAGTTTGAGGGTTAGTTGCATGTAATTATGCATCATTTATTGTTATTACTATGGCAGGTACATGTCACATATGTAACAAGGACACTGTAAAATAAAGTGCTACCCAACGGTGTTCTAGTGGTTTTTGGATATTTTAAACCAAAAATCTTACATATTGTGCCTTTAAGCAGCACAACTGTTTTCAAGATTGATAAGAATGTTTCTTTACATTTTAAATTATATTCAAAAAGAAGTTTTTAAACTGTAATAACATTTAACAATATTCATGTTTTTGACTGCCTTGGTGAGCATAAGAGAATACTTCCAAAAGAAAGCATTTAAAAAAGAAATCCGACTAATTTTTTCTTTTGTACAGTAGTGTACACAAGGACTCTCTTAGCATATTAGAGAAACAGCACAGTACTTTACCAGTGGATGATGTCTCATTAAGGCCTCTGTCATCTGATTTGAGAAAGATTTATGTTAATGTCACCCATTTTCAAAAATAATTGCAAAAAGTTAATGAACAAAGCCTATACATGAATCTATTTACCTGCACAGTAAGCTCCGCAAAATATTGGCTTGACAAACTCATAAACGTAGTAATTTCCTGGACAGGCTTTGACTCTTATAGGGTGGGATTTGTAAGTACAGCAGCCGTTCCATGAGGAGAGACAGACCTGACGGGTGACCACTCCATCTTCCAGCTGTGGGTGAGCGCCGTTGAGCCACAGTGGGGAATAAGTGCCACACGTGTACTGATTTACACATGATTCTGGCATCTGAGTATTTTCACCATTGTTGAACATCCTGTACCAGCCATTCCACTCCACATTATAATCACACATGCCATAGTTGTAATAGTTGTCTGTGGATCTCCAAGGCTGATCCAGACTGGTATAGTTGAGGCAGGGGTCGACACTTAGGGTGCTAAAAGATACTATTACAAAAAAATAAAATTAAGGTTTAATGAATTTATGATGAATTCATATTTAAAAGGTCTGTCATTTGAAAGCCAACAATAGAATTCATAATCAGGTCAATTATGAAGAATAATGAATTTACCTGCACAATATACAGGAGCTGGGATTGAAAGAGTTGGTCTGGTAAATTTGTAGACATAATAATTTCCAGGACAAGCTTGGACTTGGATTGGGTCGGATCTGTAACGACTGCACTGATCATCACGGGAGCCGTAAACTTCACGAGTAACAACTCCATCTTCTAGCCGAGGATGAGAGCCATCAAGCCACAGAGAACTAAAACCTCCACATGACATGTAAGACATACACCACTCAGGCATCTGAGCACTTGATCCATTAATGAAGAGTCGATACCAGCCGTCCCATTCTACACGAGTGTCATCATGTCCAGATATGTATCCATAATTATACCAGTAATTGAGTGTGTTTCTCCAGTAGTTGTCAAGTGTGTTGTAGTTATTGCATGGATCATAATCTGTTAGTGAGAGATGATAAGACCAAAACAAACAAGTTATATCTCAATAAGAAACTTCATAAATTGAAATCTCAACTGGTCAAACAACTTACTCAAGGAGATGCTGGATCCAGTGAATATATCTGGACTCACAGTGGAAACTGCCTGTGAAATAGTGCTGACATCTAAAAAGAAGGAAATTCATGTCATGGCAGAAATCATTTACAAAATGGTTTGAAATACTTAAATAAATGAGAAAATCACAATACCTGTGCAGTATCCTGTACACCACATTTGTGGATTCACAAGTTCATAGACATAGTAATTGCCTGGACACGCTTTCACTCTGATGGGTCTTGTCTTGTAATTACAGCAGCCTCCCCAAGGATAACTACCACAGACCTCCCTGATCACCACTCCATCCTCTATCTGAGGGTGAGGATCATTGAGCCACAGATTGATGTTTGTGTTACAGCTGTATGAACTAACACAGGTCTCTGACATCCGGATGTCCATTCCATAGTAGAAAAGCCGGTACCAGCCATTCCAGGAGAAACGTTCATCACAAATGTTATCTCCACTTTCATTGTTGGCTCTCCAGGGACGATCCAGAGACTCATAGTTGTAGCAGGGATCACTGCTGATGTTTTGGAAAGCAACTGTCATGGACAAAAGAGAAATATTGAGTTATGCATTCAAATACCTTTTGTGTAAATGAAAAATATAATGTCTAGTCTACAGTTGAAATGTGTATTTTTTAAAACACTTTCTTCTATCCTATTTAAAACTTCAAATCAGACAATTGTAGGTTGAGATTCTCAAAGAGTGCAAACATTCCTTTAGTTTAGATTATTTTTTGTTTTAGAAGTTCAACACAACTTCTGTTTCCATGTAACAGAGACCAGTCTATTTTGTCTGAACAATCAGAGTACAAGGATGGTTTAGGAAACATTACTTTACCAAATCTGCTCGGAATAGAAATTAGACAATTTACCTGTAAGTTTTTGTTAAGTACAGTAGTCAACATTTGAAGTGGATCAAAACCTTTCATCAAAGTTATAAATGAATTTTGAACAATATCCGTTCTTGTCTTAGGACAACTTTGATGAACTTTTTTGATCCACTTCAAATGTTGACTACTGTAATTGAAAGACATTTGTAGGTAGACATTTGCTTTAACGTATATAAACAGCAAGATTGTGATCTACAAAAATGTGTTTGTTTTTTTAAAAGAGCCCAGAACTGCACCTGCACAGTATGTTGGTCTGGGGTTTGATATGTTGGGTTTAACAAATTCATAGATGTAATAATCTCCTAGACAAGCTTTAACTTGGACAGACGTGGATTTGTGGTCGCCTCACTGCAGGTCAAATATGAAGAGTAATGAATGTACCTGCACAATATACAGGAGCTGGGATTGAAAGAGTTGGCCTGATAAATTTGTAGACATAATAATTTCCAGGACAAGCTTGGACTTGGATTGGGTCGGATCTGTAGCGACTGCACTGATCATTACGGGAGCCGTAAATTTCACGAGTAACAACTCCATCTTCTAGCCGAGGATGAGAGCCATCAAGCCACAGAGAACTAAAACCTCCACATGACATGTAAGACACACACCACTCAGGCATCTGAGCACTTGATCCATCAATGAAGAGTCGATACCAGCCGTCCCATTCTACACGAGTGTCATCATGATCAGATATGTATCCATTACTAGACCAGTAATAGAGTGTGCTTCTCCAGTAGTTGTCGAGAATGTTGTGTTTATTGCATGGATCATAATCTGTTATCGAGAGATGATGACACCAAAACAAACAAGTTATATTTCAAAAAGGAACTTCATAAATGTAAATCTGAACTGGTCAAACAACTTACTCAATGTGATGTTGGATCCAGTGAATATATCTGGACTCACAGTGGAAACTGCCTGTGAAATAGTGCTGACATCTAAAAAGAAGGAAATTAATGTCATGGCAGAAATCATTTACAAAATGGTTTGAAATACTGAAATAAATGAGAAAATCACAATACCTGTGCAGTATCCTGAACACCACATTTGTGGATTCACAAGTTCATAGACATAGTAATTGCCTGGACACGCTTTCACTCTGATGGGGTTTGTCTTGTAATTACAGCAGCTTCCCCAATGAGACCCTCCACAGACCTCCCTGATCACCACTCCATCCTCTATCTGAGGGTGAGGATCATTGAGCCACAGACTGATGTATGTGTTACAGGTGTATGAACTAACACAGGTCTCTGGCATCCGGATGTCCATTCCATAGTAGAAAAGCCGGTACCAGCCATTCCAGGAGAAACGTTCATCACAAATATTATCTCCGCTTTCATTGTTGGCTCTCCAGGGACGATCCAGAGACTCATAGTTGTAGCAGGGATCACTGCTGATGCTTTGGAAAGCAACTGTCATGGACAAAAGAGAAATATTGAGTTCCTTTTGTGTAAGTGAAAAATACAATGTCTACAGTTGAAATGTGTATTTTTTCAAACACTTTCTTCTATCCTATTTAAAACTTCAAATCAGATAATTTGTAGGTTGAGATTCTCAAAGAGTGCAAACATTCCTTTAGTTTAGATCATTTCTCTGTTTGTTTTAGAAGTACAACACAACTTCTGTTTCCATGTAACAGGGACCAGTCTATTTTGTCTGAACAATCAGAGTACAAGGATGGTTTAGGAAACATTATTTTACCAAATCTGCTCGGAATAGAAATTACAAAATGTACCTTTAAGTTGTGTTTTGTTAAGTACAGTAGTCAATATTTGAAGTGGGTCAAAACCTTTCATCAAAATTATACATGAATTTTGAACAAAAACCGTTCTTGTCTTAGGAAAACTTTGATTAACTTTTTTGATCCACTTCAGATGTTGACTACTGTAATTGAAAGACATTTGTAGATAGACATTTTCTTTAACGTATATAAACAGCAAGATTGTGATCTACAAAAATGTATTTTGTAAAAAAGAGCCCAGAACTGCACCTGCACAGTATGTTGGTCTGGGGTTTGATATGTTGGGTTTAACAAATTCATAGACGTAATAATCTCCTAGACAAGCTTTAACTTGGACAGAAGTGGATTTGTGGTCGCCACACTGAGAGGAATACCACATATTAGTTCCCAGGACTTCACGGGTCACCACTCCATCCTCAAGTGTTGGATGAGAACCATTGAGATGCAGTCCAGTTTCTCCACCACATCCCACATAACTCACACACCACTCAGACATCTGGGCACTTTCTCCATTCAGATACAGCCGATACCAGCCACTCCATTCAACAAGAGTGTCATCCTGTCCATGGTACTGATGTGGGCTTTGCCGTATGTCTCTCCACGATTCATTAAGAGTGTTATAATCATAGCATGGATCAGAGATGGAAGTTGTAGGTTCTGAACGAAGAAAATGAAAGGAGACATTAGAGAATCACAAGCAAATACCACTCTAACTCATTCAGGATCATTGGCATCAAAGAACAATACAACAGGAGAAACAGGACATACAGATACTTGAATATTGTGCTTATAAATAACTATACGAAAGATACGCTGGTAAACGGAGGACGCATCTGACAGACTGACATCATCTATAAATATCTCTACACTCCGTAAAATTAATCAACATTAGTAACAAATTATGTTACATTGTTACTTCTTAAGGAAGGTCACTCTTCAGCTGACTCCCAATCTTGACCCCAATTGTTACATTTTCAGTCCAGGGAGAGAAAAAGTATCTTTTATCCAGTCTGATGAAAAACTTGCATCCCATAGTCTGGCTGTTGTTCCAGTTCTGGGATTTTAATTCATGATGAAGTCAACCATTAGCCTGAAGAGTGATTGTTTACCTGATGTTTGTCCATTGATGATTACACCTGTTAAAAACAAATTCCCAGCATTTTGAGTTAATATTATGGCATTCAGTCAGCTGTTAATTATATCCGTCATTCTGAGAGAGATATAATGTGATCACTTTTGAATTTACAACTCACCATTAATCAGCAGCAGCAGCGACACACACAGTGAGATTAGAAACCTCATTGTGACAAACTGACCTGTAAAATCAAAACTTGTTTCTGAATGGTCAATTGTGGCATTCTGTAATGAAAAACTTCTGTATAAGCTGCACTAACTGTATAATTAAGCCCTATTCTGGCATCCGATGTCCTGCACTGCTAACTTGATGTCTCTCGTATCACTTCTCACTCACCACAATACGTTTTTCATATCAATTTATTTACTTTTTTTTAGACATGTAAATGTAATTATGGAAAATAGACATGTAATTATCACAAACTAACCCTATGAGAGGGATCTTTATCACATTGGGGTGAACAAACTGACTGAATATTATACCTTAAGCATGGAATATTATTTTCTGTTAAGTCAGCAACATCACTTTTGTTATACATTTTAACTTACAATACTGACAGTATAACATGACAGTTACTTACACTGCAAGTAACATTCAACTATTCCATAAGTCAACAACCAAAACATATAATTAAAATAGAAGACTCGTGGCTATTAATAAATAATCCGATCTATCTAAAGCAAATGACTGAAAGAGTGATCAGACACTGGGATAAAACGGAGAGACATACTGTTACCTGAGGAAAGATGCAAGGCAAACTCAGGGAGAATCTCTTCAGCAGCTGAACATAGTGATGCTGAGCTGCCTTTATTTATAACTGTGGGTGGGTCGACCTTTACTGGAACCAAGAGCAATCTCTAAACAATCACTTAAACCAGTTTTTCCATTTCTTTGTAAGTTGCGTGAGTGTAACTATGGTTTGCGTGCCATTTAATCGGTTTACTTCATTGTGCAGCTCTGTTGGGTACTGGTTGCTCTGATATTAAAATGCAATGAAAACAATTGTTACGTTCCCTCTCTCTAGTCTAGGGGAAAAGAGGGACTAACAATAAATGAAAGATGTAACAATTAAAAAGTAGTGAGAAATCTCCTTTTCCTCTATCTGTATTTCACTTTTATATCTAACAGATTTACACAACACCCTTTGAGTTTGACCTGATCATAAAAGGAACTTGAGGGAGAATGATTAAGTAGTTCTTTATTTATTTTCTTGAATTGAGGCCAACAAAGGCTTGCTCAATATATTTACAAAATAAGCAAGGGTCAGTAACAGATAAATAAGTTTAAATAATAACCAAATCGTCAGGAGAGGGCGAGGCCAAAATAACAAACAAAATGGAGACTTCCTAAGGTTTAAACCCAATTAAATTTCCTAACAAAAAGAAGATGAAATCAAAGACAATTATCTTACCTCTCTCCCTGACTAACAAAGAATAAACAGGAGAAAAGTTCAGGAGTAGATACTCCAAACAAATTGGCACCCGTCTCCCTACACGGTTGAACAACTTAAACTCACACAGTCTAAGAGCTCGTGGTACTCAAACACAGATCACACAGATAAAGTTTTAACAACAAGTAACACCACAACGTCTGGGATAGCCGAAGAGGGATCTCTTTCGAACACGGTGTCTTTGGTGTTTTATATCCACTCCTGTTAATCAGCACCAGCTGCAGGTGATTTGGGGCGCTGCCTGGCAGAGGGAGAGAGAGAGAGAGAGAGAGACAGAAGGAGGGGAGAAAACATCGCCAGCACCCATAAACTCTAAATATTACGTCATGGGACGTAACACCCCCACCGATAAGTTTATAAATAACAAGTTATTTATAACAAACAGTCACCAATTCACTTTCACTATTTAAAAGTAAATAGCATTCACATGTTATTATAATCATAAAAACTATTTATGACCTAGATAATGCATCCGCAACAACATTTTCGGAGCCTTTTTTGTAACGGACGTCAAGATTAAACTCTTGAACGGCGAGAGACCACCGCATAAGCCGCTGATTCACATTAGACATGCGCTCAAGAAAAATTAAGGGGTTATGGTCTGTGTACACTACGATTGGAGCTACACCACCACCTAAATACACCTCAAAATGCTGTAGGGCCATCAACATTGCCAGTGCCTCCTTCTCAATGACACTATAGTTCTGCTGACACCTTGAGAACTTTTTAGAGAAGTATGAAACCGGATGCTCTACACAAATTATCATCCTGCAACAGGACCGCACCAGCCCCTGTAGCTGAGGCATCAACTTCTAACTTAAATGGGGCATCAAATTGAGGGGCTTTGAGTATTGGGGCGCTACAGAGCAAGTCTTTCGATGCATTGAAAGCATACTCACAACTGGGTGTCCAGACAAACCTTTTTGTAGTGCTTAGTAGATCAGTTAGTGGCGAGACAACGGTGGCAAAGTTTAGGCAGAAAGCACGGTAGTATCCACACATTCCAAGGAACCTGCGCAGTTCACGTTTATTAGAAGGGATATTGTATTCAAGGATAGCTGCAACTTTGGCTTCGACAGGCTTCACCATTCCTTGTCCCACTTGTTTACCTAAGTAGCAGATCATTCCCTTAGCGAACTCGCACTTGGCGAGGTTCAAGGTCAACGAGGCATTAGCAAAGCGCTGAAACACATTCGCAAGGGAGGATAGATGTTCTGTCCAGGTATTTGAGTGGACAACCACGTCATCCAAGTATACTTCACAGTCTTCCACACCTGCTAACACATTATACATTAAACGCTGGAATGTGGCAGGAGCGTTTCGCATCCCAAAAGCTAAGACAGAATATTGCAGAAAGCTGTCTGAGGTGACAAAAGCTGATATTTCTGATGCCCGCGGAGTCAGAGGGACCTGCCAGTATCCTTTCAGGAGGTCTAGCTTTGTTACAAACTTAGCGTTGCCCACCCTGTCCACACAGTCTTCCATTCTAGGGAGTGGGAAGGAATCTGCTTTAGTGATGTTGTTGACTTTGCGGAAGTCGGTGCAGAAGCGATAGGTGGAATCAAGCTTTGGTACCAGTAAGCAGGGCGAACTCCAGGGACTCTGACTTGGCACAGCAATTCCATTCTGCAGCATATACTCCACTTCAGCCTTCATTATGTTACGCTTTTGGGGATTGACTCGATAAGGATGCTGTTTGATGGGGGACGCATTTCCAACATCAATGTCATGGGAACACATTGCAGTTTTTCCAGGCACATCTGAGAATAAACTAGGGAACTTATGCAGCAAATTAGTCAGTTCTTCAGCCTGACTTTCACCGAGATGAGCAAGGTAACTCTTAAGGTCACTTAGAATGGCAGAGTTCTGTAAACGTGTGGAGGAAACTTGACCTTTATTACACAATCCATCGTCTTCCATGGTATAGCTGATAACCATAGCAACAGTGGAGGTTGGCACACTTGCGGTCTCACACTTCGCTTCCACTGTGGGTTTGTCACACTTTGTCTCACTTTGTGTAGTCACATACCTTTTCAGCATGTTGATGTGGCACAAACGGCTTTTACGTCTGCGGTCAGGTGTGTCAATGATGTAATTTGCGTCACTCACTTTCCTCTTGACAACGTAGGGACCATTAAACTTCGCCTGGAACACAGAACCAGGAATGGGTAGCAAAGCTAGAACCAAATCGCCAGGCTGGAAAGATCTGCTAACAGACTTCTGGTCAAAGCTTGCTTTCATCTTGCCTTGTGCGGTTTCAGGGTGTTTTGCTGCTACTCCACGAGCGCTCTGAAGTCTCTGACGAAGAGACTGGACATAGTCAGGGATAGCCACAGGGGTTGAATGTTCAGTCAACAGTTGCTCACTCAACTTTAACGGTCCTCGCACCACATGACCGAAGACAAGCTCTGCTGGACTATATCCTAGAGACTCTTGTACTGTCTCTCTCACAGCGAACAGAAGAAAGGGGAGACCCTCGTCCCAATCTTTTCCTGTCTCAACACAATAGCTGCGCAACATCGTTTTAAGAGTTTGATGAAACCTCTCAATCGCACCTTGTGACTCTGGGTGGTAGGCACTGGATAACTGATGATTTATGTCAAGCTCCTTTAGAATCTGCTCAAACATTCTTGACGTAAAATTAGTGCCACGGTCTGTCTGGATTACTTTTGGCAGGCCGAAAGTGGAACAGAACTTGACCAGCTTTTTCACAACTGCTTTGGCTTTCAGGTTGCGTAATGGGACTGCTTCGGGAAAGCGTGTTGCAGCACACATGATAGTTAACATATATTGATGTCCTGCCTTGGACTTAGGCAATGGGCCCACACAATCGATGATCAGTCGTTCAAAGGGCTCACACATCACAGGGATTGGCGTAAGAGGAGCGACAGGAACTCGTTGGTTCGGTTTTCCCGTGAGTTGGCAAACTTTGCAAGCTTTGCAAAAGGCAGACACAGCAGACTTTATACCAGGCCAGTAGAAGTATCGGGAAACTCGATAGGATGTCTTCGTCACTCCTAGATGACCGGACATTACGTGTTCATGAGCCAGCTTCAACACATGCAGGCGATAGCCAGAAGGCAACACAATTTGCTGGACCAGCTGACAGTTCTCATCCTCTTCATCTGGTTTCCATCTACGCATCAGTAGTCCATGATCCCAGAAATACATAACCCCAGAATTAGGCACTTGCCCAAGATCTGCAGCTTTAACACACTTAGCTAGCGTTGGGTCTTCTCTCTGAGCAGTTATCAAATGTTCTCGACTCACTTTTAAGGGGCTTTTTGACTCTGAACTAGGATCAGGTGAAAGCTCAGGCACTGGGATCAGCGAATACTCACATGGGGTAGTGTCAGAGACCAGAAAGGAATCAGCAAGATCCACCACTTCCTTGAACTTTTGTGCCTGTGCACGGGTCACTGCGCATGCTGGGAATGCTGAAGCAGGGCTCAACATAAAAAAAAATCCCCACTGGCCCCCGGGGCCAGTAGATCAGAGTTTTGCTGGCCCCTTCTATATTTTGACTGGCCCTGAAAGAAATAAACTGTATTTATTGTATACATTAGGATTAATCAAAACAGCGAAGGGAGTTCAGGAATTAAGAGAGAGCCCCTGGACACATGCAAAAATAACCAAATGTCAGTGTGCAGTAAATTTGTCAATACCTGCTTTCTCCTCATCTCCCTCTCTCTTTTTTTCTCAGTCTCCTCATCTTACTTATTAAAGCTAAAGTTATTCATTCAAGAGAGCTGCGAGTGATTTTCTTTGTGCCTTTTGTTGTTTGATTCTCAGTAATGGCGTGATCGTCAGCATGTTTATTAGACTGCTTCCCCTTTAAGAACGAGTGCAGATCTAATAGTCTACTGATGCACCATATTTTCTCCCAACCATTTCCATAACTGCGTCCATTTTAGACATAAACTGTTTAAGTGAATCTCCAAGCCAGTCATTTTGACACATTTTTGTGTACATTTGATCGTTTAGACCCGCACATGAAGCCCAAAGTATAATTTGCTTGTCTCGTTATGGTATGTTTCGGAGCGCGCGCTGCATTGGGAACCGCATCTCTTGCGCAGATTTTTGTGCTTTTAATAGCTCTTTTTATTATTAAACGCGTCCCGCAATTTAGCAACAGACGAGACTGCATTTTACAACAATCACCGATCGTGCTGATTCTGTCTTAAAGTTTGAGTTTTAAGGACAGCGTACTGCTGCGAAGGGAAGGAAGTTGCGCTAGACAGAATGCAGTTTTTAATGGTTTTACCTCAAATATATTCTATAATCTTTGGAAGCCGAAATCTAAAATAAAATCATACTAAATCACAGATCTAAAGTGTAACCATAACTTGAATGTTTAGTTCTGTCCCCCTCCGTCAGGTGTTGTGCGTGTTGTGGCACCGCGTGAGATCTCTCTCTCTTCTGGACTGCGCGAATAGCAAAAATGCATCACAGACAAATGGTTTAATTTTATTATAGAAATGGCTGGCGACTCAGCGAGATGGTAAAAAAAAACAAAAAAAACGTCTTTATAGCAATAATAAATGATAGCCTACGTGTATTTCTCCAGTAGCCTACCGACAGCAGAACCGATAACGTCCGAGCTTATCGATACAGCGCGGTCTTTCAAAATTCAGTCCCGTTTAATACAGGGTTTCGGTACTCTTTCTCGTATTAGCCTCGTAGTTCTTTGACATTTTAACACGTTATAAATAACCTGAAGAAACATTGACACTCTTCGCGCCACTGTGTATGACGTTTGCTGTTTGTTTTGCTGATGGCCAGTTACTGGCCCGCGCGGGCAAGTGACTGGCCAATCAACTAGCCCGACATACACTTTTACTGGCCCCGGGCCATCGGGCCATTGCTTATGTCGAGCCCTGGCTGAAGGATACAAGGTAGACAGGTTAGACTGCTCCTTTACACTTGGGGTATGTGTCACAATTGGAGAAGGAAAAACTTCGCCACCTGCTAAATCATTCCCTATAATTAAGTCTATACCTTCTACAGGTAACTGTCTGCGGACACCCAGTTTAACAGTTCCACTTACAAGCCCTGACTTTAAGTGAACCGTATGCAAAGGCACATTAGCACAGCACATCTCAATACCACGGACCAACACATCATATCCTGTGTACGTGTCAGCAGAAAATGGAAGGCTACGCTCCAGAATGAAGGACTGCGCAGCTCCAGTGTCTCTAAGCATGACTACTGGCTTAAACTCAGCATCAGGGAATATAGAAACCATGCCCTCCTGAAGAAATGGCTGGTAACTTTCTACATCAGTTGGGCTTAATTTTGGTAATGACTGAGCAAGTGCTACACTCTTCGTTTTCGAACCCTTCTGCTTCCACTGATGACAGTCCGCAATCAAGTGTTCAGGGCTTAGACAGTAAAAACATTCCCGTCTCTCACTATTTGCAGGTTTAAATTTACGAGCACTCTTTGGGAAATTTTCTACTCTAGCAGGGCGTGCTACAGGAGGCATCACATTCAACGAATCGCCTGAATACGGTGTGGCAAATTTTGTCTGCCGTGCTGTAGTAAAAACAGTGCGATGTGTCAATACAAATTCGTCAGCCAAAACAGCAGCGTTAGACAAGCAAGCGACTTTTTGTTCATTCAAATGAACCACCACATTCTCTGGCACACAATTCTTAAAGTCTTCTAGCATGATTAACTCCTGCAACTGTTCCAGAGTCGTTATCTTGCTAGAGAGACACCATTTATCAAAGAGGATTTTTTTCTCCCTTGCAAACTCTACGTAAGACTGTCTGGCTGTTTTCACGTGGCGCCGAAATTTTTGCCGGTAAGCTTCAGGGACAAGCTCAAACGCGCGTAAAACCGCTGCCTTAATTATGTCATAGTCAAGAGAAGATTCGATTGGTAGAGCAGAACAGACCTCCTGCGCTTTTCCAGTGAGACTACACTGTAACAATAGAGCCCACATCTCCTTCGGCCATGCTAACTTTCCTGCGACTCGCTCGAACGTCACAAAGTAGGAATCTACTTCCGCCTCTCTGAACGGTGGTACTAGCTTAATATATCTACTGGGGTCAAAAGGAACGGCAGAAGATACATGGCTATGCCCATCAGACAAAGGACTAGTTGCTGTCAAAGTAGGAGAGGAAACTGAAGAGGTTTTGACATGCGGAAACGGGATTGGTTGTACAGCAGTACGCTGAGCTTCTAAAGCCAATTTTTGCAACTGAATATCCCGATCAGCCTCCGCTTCAATGGTTCTCAATTTAATCATCTGAGCTTCACACTCCTGCTTCTTTATTTCTAGATCTAATTCCTTTAACCTCACTGCTAACCTAGGGTCTTGAAAAGCCATAGAGTCAATGTCAGGTGGACCTACACTATCCACATCTTTATCTGCTGCTGCATGTTGCTCTACCTCCTCACCATCATTGCTTTGACTCGGCAAAATTCCATCGCTTACCAATTTGTCATACAACTTTTCTTTAATGACTTGTTTGGTAGCTTCTTTGGAAATTACGATGTTAAAAAACTCTGCTATCTGAATAAGATCTTTCTTCTTACAGCGATCAAAGACTTCAAAAGTCGGCGCAAGGGTAAACGAGAGCAGATCAAATTCCATCTCTTAATCCCCCACTACACTCTCCTCTTTCACCCAAAGAAAACAGCCAGCAATCAAGAATAAAGTAGTACTCAACAAAGTAGAGTTGTACTAACGAGTAACGAATCCTCAAAATTAGCAATAGGCCTCATGAGTTAATTGTCACAGGACAAAACTACCTATTGTTAAAAAGGAATCCACAAAATTACACAGAACGACGCAAGGGACGAGCCCCCAATTGTTACGTTCCCTCTCTCTAGTCTAGGGGAAAAGAGGGACTAACAATAAATGAAAGACGTAACAATTAAAAAGAAGTGAGAAATCTCCTTTTCCTCTATCCCAGCTCTATCTGTATTTCACTTTTATATCTAACAGATTTACACAACACCCTTTGAGTTTGACCTGATCATAAAAGGAACTTGAGGGAGAATGATTAAGTAGTTCTTTATTTATTTTCTTGAATTGAGGCCAACAAAGGCTTGCTCAATATATTTACAAAATAAGCAAGGGTCAGTAACAGATAAATAAGTTTAAATAATAACCAAATCGTCAGGAGAGGGCGAGGCCAAAATAACAAACAAAATGGAGACTTCCTAAGGTTTAAACCCAATTAAATTTCCTAACAAAAAGAAGATGAAATCAAAGACAATTATCTAACCTCTCTCCCTGACTAACAAAGAATAAACAGGAGAAAAGTTCAGGAGTAGATACTCCAAACAAATTGGCACCCGTCTCCCTACACGGTTGAACAACTTAAACTCACACAGTCTAAGAGCTCGTGGTACTCAAACACAGATCACACAGATCTCACAGATAAAGTTTTAACAACAAGTAACACCACAACGTCTGGGATAGCCGAAGAGGGATCTCTTTCGAACACGGTGTCTTTGGTGTTTTATATCCACTCCTGTTAATCAGCACCAGCTGCAGGTGATTTGGGGCGCTGCCTGGCAGAGGGAGAGAGAGAGAGAGACAGAAGGAGGGGAGAAAACATCGCCAGCACCCATAAACTCTAAATATTACGTCATGGGACGTAACACAATAGTTAATGTATATGTCAGCCTAAAATCAGACCATGTCCTGAGATTCCCAGCAATAAACAAAATCCTACTTAAGTGCATTAATTACCAATAAAGTTTGTCTAAGTATCTTATTTGTCTAATGTGTCCTATGTTGTTCAAATTTTATTGTAGTCAGTGAGTGACATGTTCTAAAATACTCTCATCACAGTTTTCATATCTATCATGCAGATAATTATGTCTTGTTCCGGTCAGGTATTTCCAAATAAAAAATATGTCAATGCATTATAACAAAATACATGTATAGTATTACAAAAATACATAATAACAAAATAAGTCTTAATATCTTCTTTTTTATGCCAAAACTTGCGTAGATATTTCAACTGATAAACAGGATTAAACAGAAAATGCATTTTTGCAGTGTAGAAGAAACTGGTGTGTAGATGTGGATAGGGGGCTTGTGAGCAACAGTTCCTAAGAGCAGCAGAGATGTCACTGGTGAATCAAACAGATTACAATTCAGTCATGTTCAGTGTACAATATTAAAATACATACCTCTCCATTTTAAATGCAGACACGAGGATGTCAGCAAAGACATAAACAAATGACAAGGCAAACTTAATCTGTGGGTAGAAGAAAAGTAAAGCTATTAATATGACAAATATGACAAAAGGTATAGATAATATTTAAGAATGCAGTCTTGAATTGCATTCAAGATTTTGCATTCATTTCATTGACTACACTGGACATTGAAAGTCAAAGCATTTTGCATTGTGGGATACAATATCACAATATCCAATGCAAGTTAGTGTAGTTTCAAAACTGTATAGTTATCAAGATATTCCATCTATACATAAAAAGCATTCTTTGCACATGCAGTATTTATTGTGCATATTGAAGAAATAGTATAATTTTCCAAACATAGTCCAGGACTTTAAATGCTGCTTTATAAACATAATAAAATTAGCACTTACCATTGCAGAGGACATGAAAGCACTTAAAGATGACGGATTCAGTGTCTCTCTCTGTACTTAATACGCTGACTGTTTTTGTTTTTTTCTTGTAATGAAGCAAAGTAAAATATTTCAATTTGTTCCTATTTTGTCAACACCTAATCCTTTTTGGACCCCACTATGAAATTAGTTTTAGAATGAAAGCAACAAACATATGTTCAAAGGCTCATTAAAGTTCAACAATTCCACTTTTTATTCCATATGAAGAGGAAACAGCCAATTTCAGTGAGAGAAAAGTGGAACAGGAGTGTGACATTTAAAAAAAAAAAATAGGTGCAGGGAGTTATGTAATATTTTTTTAAATGTATATATCATTTTGGAGGTTTTAATACAGAGGTTAATGGTTTCTAGCTTGTACAGATCAAATACTGTGTTTTGCACGTGTCCAAACAATGGAAATATTGGGAGCGATACTGACAGATTTAGGAAAAATACAAATGGCAAGTCTCAACATTGAACAGCATTTCCAAAAGAAACGAATATGCAAGTTTTTTTCAACTTTCAATGTCAATTACATGTTAACAAGACTATACCAGTAAAGCGTAAATGCTGAATAAAGCTTGTATCTGAAAATGATGCGTGTAACAGTCCACTTAGCCAATAATTGGAAATATTGCCATCAGTTCTGCTTCTTTTGCTCTATTTTGAAATCCCAAAACCAAAAGTTTTGCATCTACAGAGCGCTGTTTAAAGCTGAGATTCAAAAACGTATCTTTTAATCAATCATCCCCAAAATTGGTGTGTAAAATTAGTATTTTTACTTATGGAATGAGGTAGGCCTAAATCTGGAATTGTGTGACCTTGTTTAAATATAACTTTGTAAAGTTGACATGAAAAAAATGTAGACAGCTGCCATATTCAGCAGCTTTGTGACATGTTATGTAATTTCATACTAAATGTTTTTTTAAGTATTAGTCTGATTCATGTAGGCTATAGGGGAGAGTGGGGCACAACCTAACCTTCTTGACTTTCTCCGTTTTTGTAAACCTATACTTTTGGTTCAGAATATATATATTTTTCCCACAATAATTTCACACGTCTAATACACTTATGTGATTTTGTTTCATTAATAACTTTTATGAGCTCAGATCAGTTGAAAAACGATTCCTTTTACATCTAAACATTCTTAAAAAACGAGCATTTCAGTAACTATGCTGATAGTATTTCAAATAGGCCTACAAGATATGTCTAGACTTCGTTAAAAGGACTATAATGGTGCGGAAACAATGTCCACAAATACAACAGGTGGCATTTCATCCTAAACACCTTCCAGAAAAACATGGGGAGAGATAATATATTCATTGTGTGTTTACAGTAAGTTTGTTTTTAAAGCACAACGTTTCTAATGCCACAGTGCAGACTAGAGGAATCAACAATGGATGACGTGTTCATTCTGAGCATAGGCCTACCGTCCATTGTATTCAATATTATTGCCTACGCCTCTAAAATAACAACTTAATATGAATTCACACTATGCTTAAGCCACACGACTTTTAAAGAATAATCTTTGAGCAAATATGTACATTACACACCCGGAAACCAACCATGCCTGCATCCTGGTCAGAAACAAACGAGTCCTACTATGGGCTAAAAGTGCCTCATGTATATTCATGACGTGGCGGTAAATTACCTCAGATGATCAGCCTGATTGGATAAAGGATGAAATGGGCGCCAGGAAGCTGGCGAATCACCGAATCCTATCTGACGCTCAAATATGAATACATTATGTGATTGGATGCGCCAGCCAGATTAAGGTCAACGTCAGCATGGCGTAATCAATATTCATGAGTAAACCTTCGCTTTAGTAGGATTGGTAATTTGGCGTCGTGTTCACCTGCGCCACAGGTGCGCGGTGGACAGATCGGAGTGAGATGGGGAATTCAGACTCCAAACTGCACTTCAGAAAAGCGGTGATTCAACTTACCACCAAAACACAGGTCAGGTTTACTTTTTATTTGACATATGTGACTTGTATAAATGTTTGTGTAGAGTTAAAAAATGTTCCAAAACGCTGTTAAAGTGTACCAGATGGAATACTATCGCTTGATGTCTTTTTCTTATAATCTCATATTGTTAAACTTTATAGACCCGTTTGGAAATGTAATCTTTCGTTTAATATTGAATGTTAGGTTTTTAAATCCTAATTCTATAATTGTATGTCAAATGATGCAAAATTATGCACAGAAACGAAACGAGAGAGACTCAGAAAATGTATGCAGATGACAGCTGTGTGCAGTCATGCTGTTTGTGTTTTTATTACATTACATTTATTACCTCTGTTGTTCTCGTTTATTAGTGAGTTTTTACAGGTGATGGTCATTTAGGGTTAAGCTGAGATGCTTTGTTTACATTTTCCCAGTTTAAAAAAAACGCCTTGTTTGTAAAGGATTTAAAATAATAATCTACATTGTCCTGTAATAAAGACTGGTGAGAAAAGTATATATTATATTTTGAATAAAGAAAATGAAGAATTCAGGGCCATTAACATGCTTTGCATTTAATTTGCTTTTGCTTTTTTTATGATTTTAATGACAATTAAAGGGCAAGATGTGATGGGAAAAAGGTATAAGGGAAGATGTCCACAGACAGTCACTAAATCCCATCTCAAAACTTTTATTGGATTGTTGTGCTTTTATTAATTTTAACTTATGAAAATTGCCTCGTGTGTGATTTTTACAGCCCGTAGAGGCCTCTGATGATGTGTTCTGGGACCAGTTCTGGACTGACGTCGACTTGACGGCGCAGGATATTTTTGCTCTAGTTCCTGCCGCTGAGATCCGTGCTGTGAGAGAGGAATCTCCGTCCAATCTGGCAACCCTCTGTTTCAAGGTAAATTATGGCTGCGTTCGAAATCGCATACTCTCTTGAGTAAGTACTTATTTTTAATAAGTAATTACTTAACCACTAAAAAAAGTATGTTCTATATAGTATGCTATGCATGTGTGTAGTATGAATGTAATTCGGATGTACTACATTCGCCATGCTGCGATTATCATGTAACTACCAGCATCAGTTTTCGCTTCACTGCCATTCACAAATCCTCTCCCGTGGCCTCATGGGATATTAAAGAGTCCAGAGTATTAAAGATATTAATCTCGCCGGAAGTAGTAGGTCATCTGTGTACTTTTAGCCTACTTTTTTATGAGTTCTGTGAATTTGGACATACTGCTTTACTTTTGTCGCATTATGTTCTTTTTGCATTTTGCATTTGCATAAAGTGCCACTTTTTGCATTCGGGTCCATTTTGACCCAGGTATCAACTGAGGCTTAACACATAATGTAATGCATGACTCTTATCTTTTTTTTGTCTTTCCCATATCTCACACTTTGGGGATTTTGTTGATAAACATGACTATGCATGCATATTAATGAACCACTGTAGCATGAAAAGTTAGTTTATGCAAGTTAAATAAATATATTCCAGAATAATATTAATGATGGTTTTTTAATATGTAGGTTTCACAAATTTGGACTATTTTTGAGAAGTCATGAGTTATAAATTTAAATGAATTTAAGAAGTAATCATTACGTGCGTGCGTGCGTGCGTGCGTGCGTGCGTGCGTGCGTGTGTGTGTGTGTGTGTGTGTGTGTGTGTGTGTGTGTGTTGCAGGCAGTGGAAAGGCTCGTGTTGAACGCAGACTCGGGCTGTGTGTGTGAGAGAGACAGACAGACCGTACTGAGCTGCACTCGTCTGTTGACTCGGATTCTGCCGTACATCTTTGAGGATCCGGACTGGCGTGGTTTCTTCTGGTCCACCGTGCCAAAAGTGGGCAAGTCTGTTGTGAGTATTTCACTGAGGGATTTCTCATCATTGCTTTCAGTGTGATTAATAAAGTTCTCCAAATGGTTGATTATGCAGTGCATAAGTATGCACACCCTCCCAGAGCGTGCACGAGCTGTGCAAGCAGGTTTTAAGAAGAAGCACTGAAAACGTTTGCCTTGCATGCACTTTAAAGCATGCGCTGTGTGTGTGTGTGAGAGAGAGAGAGAGTTTGTTCTCCAGTGCATTTTAACAGTCTCCTGTTACCAGCCTGAACACTGCTCTGATTGTGACTGTCTGAAAGAACGACGGCGTATTAAATATCATGTGATTAAAGAGATGAAGAGAGCAGAATGAGTGTATTGATGATGTGATTGTGTGTATGAAACTCTTCAGAAAGCCAATAGCTCCTAAAGCACTGGTTAGACAAGGTTGTTTCCAAGTACTGTGTGGAAAAAAAACATGAATTTACTGCGTTTGTGATTAAAAGCATGAGTTGCAGACTGACATATTTTGCTGCCGCAGGATGAAGGCGATGACGAGTCCACCCGGCCGCTGGCGGAGTCTCTCCTCACAGCTGTATCTGACCTGCTCTTCTGTCCAGACTTCACTGTCGAGAGCCACTGCAGGACCACTGCGGTATAACCCTCTCCATCTCCATCATCATTACTTATTCTGGCCAAGAACCTCCTGCTAAGGCAGAAACAGACACTCAGATTCATGATGAATCTGAAGTGACCGGCTGCAGTTTATGTTTTAATAATAATACTGTAAGCCACCATTCAACAAAATGGTTCTTCTTTTAAATAAGAATGGCAAGGCAGTCTCCCAAATTGCACAGACAACTCTAAAGAAATCTGTAGAAAATGTGTTGACATTTACATTTTATGCATTTGGCAGATTTGCTTTTATCCAAAGCAACTTAGACTGCATTTAGTGTAAAGATTGTATCAGCATGTTTGTTTTCTGCGTGATTCACAAACATTTTATCAGCTGAACAGTTTTTCGCATTAAATATTAACATGAAGTACTCCTGAGATTTTAAGTTAGTAGTTCAATAATTTGACCATACATTTGCATGTTCACGGTTCTCTAATGTCACATGATTTGCAAATTAAAAAATTCAATATTTAGTACTTGTTTTTACAAAATTTTAGTCATATTTACTATTTTTATTTTTATATATATATTAATAGATTTGAAATTGATTTTAATGAGCTTTTTATGACAGACAACAATAGCTCTGCTTTTTGATGTGTAGTTTACTAGTAGATCGCAAGTATCTCATAATAACATCAATGGTATTGGACTTTGTCAAACCCAATAATTAGATTTCCTCAGACGTGCTCATTGTTTCAGAGTAAATCCTACACCTATTTGTTTCAATGTATAACCTTGCAGACTCTCTCTCTATAATGTATGTGTTTATAAATATGTATATAATATGTGTGTGTGTGTGTAGGATGGTGCTGCTGATATCCAGTCTATAGACAGCTGTGAGTTGATCTGGGAAGCTGGCGTTGGCTTTGCTCAGGCTCCGCCTCTCAATCACACCTATGATTCCAACAGGTCAGAGATCCGACCACTTCATTCTGCCCATCAAGTCTGTAAAAATACAGTAAAAACAGTAATATTGTGAACTATTATTACAATTTTAAACTGTAATTTATTCCTGTGATCAAAGCTGAATGTTCAGCATCATTACTCCAGTCTTCAGTGTCACATGATCCTTCAGAAATCACTCTAATATGAGGATTTGCTGCTTATTATCAATGCTAAAAACATTTGTGCTGCTTTATATCTTTGTGGAAACAGTGATGCATTTTTTTATTCGGGATTCTTTGATGAATAGAGCGTTCAAAAGAACAAAATCTTTTTTAACATTATAAATTATAAACTGTCATTAATGATTAATTAAATGCATCCTTGCTAATTAAATTAACTCTCTGTTTCTCTCTCTCTCTCAGGGCAGAGTTATTGAAGCTTTTATTGACATGTTTCTCAGAAGAAATGTATCAGTCTCCATCTGACACGCACGCGCTCAACCCATGGGTCTCGTTCTTTTGCTCTAGAGAAAACCGGTAACCACATCCCGGCTCATTTATTCTCATTGGTTGTGCTACATCACAATTAAAGTGTGCTCTCTCTGTCTCAGACATGCGCTGCCGCTCTTCACCTCTCTTCTTAACGTGGTGTGTGCGTATGACCCTGTCGGGTACGGTGTCCCGTACAATCACCTGATGTTCTCTGACCAGCGGGGGGCGCTAGCGGAGCTGGCCCTGCAGACTCTGATCGTCTCACTGGAGCAAGAGCTTGTCGATGGCACTATCACAAACGCCAGCCTGAACCCGAGCTCGAACACTGACACCGGCTCTGCCGATTACAACAAGAACACAACGACTGAAGGATGCAAGGTAACGACGCACACAAGTGCTATGGCTGTGTTCAGAACAGCATGTCTATGTCATATCTATGTTTGTTGTTGTGTATAGTATGTGAATTTTCTGTATGTGTGGATAATGACCTTCCACATTTAGTAAAAGCAATGCGTAGTGTACCATTAGGCCTCTAACGATCATGAATTTCGTGCTGACGAGTAATTGTCATACAAATAATTGCGATTTATGATTTTATTCGATTTTGTTCGTCACTTACAGGTGAAGTCTCATAAAACATTTTTACTTGGAAATTCTATAATAAATTATAAAAAAAATTACCAAAACAGACCATTTAAAGCTCTGAAAATTAATATTTATATAATAAATTCTGATTATTAAACCCACAAACCTTAATTTCGTATGAAGGAAAACCTTTGACTATCTTTATGTATTTTACAACAGTGATTTTTTTTATTATATTCTTTGGCAAACTGTGATTGAAATTTAAACTGCACAATTATTGTAGTTATCTCAAATAATTGTGATTAGATCGAATAACCACAATCAAATGATTAAACAATAATTGTGACAGGCCTACATGCCATATCAAATCAAATGTATTTGTATAGCGTTTTTCACAATGCACATTGTTTCAAAGCAGCTTTACTGAAAATCATGATGATAATGTTTGTGATATCTTAATATCTTCATGCCTTAGTTGCATTTAACAGATACGAATTGGGTGATAATATTAGTCATTTTTGTGACAATACAATCAAGCAGTTGAAATTTGATAAAAAGTATACAGTATATCGCTTTTGATATCACAATGCAGTTCACTATTTTTTAGGCAGTATAATCACACAATGCTAGATGTCAATTTTGATGACTTCCCAGAAGTTAAGAAGAAAATACGTGAAATGAAACGCAAAATAACTATTTATTTGCTAGATGATAACTGAATGCCACTCGATGAATGAAACATGCGGTAAACTGTAAGCACAACCTATGCATGCTGTAGTAAATACAAATATCTGTTAAAATAGTACAAATATTTTTTGATTCAGTGCTGCATAAAACAGTTATTGTTGGCATCCTACATGTAATGTGAACATATTTCCGTGGTAGTATAATTTTCAGGACATTTGAGCCCGAAACAAAGCATGTCTGTGATTCCCAAGAATGCTGTCTAAGCGGCCTGATGGGTTTTGAAAGGGAGCATGTGTTTGGTATTATGATAGTTGAGTATTTCAAACGCTCCGATTGAGGATCAGATTTAACTTGATGAAATGTTTCAGGCAACAAGAGGAGAAAACCTGTTTGTAAACTACCTGTCTCGAATTCATAGAGAAGAGGTGAGACATGTAAACACTTCACAACCCCATCCTACCTTACAAATGATCAGTATTCTCACACATTACCATTATAAGAATAATGCTTCACTGTAAGAATAATACCATATCTTTTTTTGCCTGTAGGATTTTCATTTAATCTTGCGAGGAGTCGGCCGGCTGCTCAACAACCCCCTGATGCAGACGTACCTGCCCCATTCCTGCAAGAAGATCCAGTTTGATCAAGAGCTGCTGGTGCTTTTCTGGAAACTCTGTGACCTCAACAAGGTGCCACCTATTTTTTTTTTATTTTTTTTTAATAAAATATGAAAATGCTATTAAAATAAGATAAAGTATGAAATAAAATAAATTTGTATTGAAAATAAAACTTAAAGCAAAAATACATTATTTAAAATAAAAATAAAATATTAAATAAAATACATTTTCATTTATATAACAAATTGGTATAAAAATTCAAGACTACTGACACGGCATGGCCTTGCTCTGTTCTTCAGATGTTTTTTCTTTAGCAGTTCTTTTACATTTAATTGTGTTTTGAATACTTTTTCAGCTCTGTGCTTCCAGCAACTGCATGTATATTCCTGTACAGTGTAGACCTTGACGTTTCTTCATCTGTGTTTCAGAAGTTCCTGTTCTACGTGTTGAAGAGCAGTGATGTGCTGGATATTCTGGTGCCAATTCTGTTCTATCTGAATGACGCTCGTGCCAATCAGTGTGAGTATCCGGTGTGACACGTACAACATAAATTCATCCATATTTTACCTGTACATTGAGAGACACTTTTATTTGTTAAATAATATGATGAATTGGAAAAGTATTTTGTTTCTGATCTATTAAAATGTATTTCCCATTTTAAGTGGTGTCTTATTTTATAAACTGTGGATGTGTGAAATCTAGGCATATGTGTGAGTGTGCACATGCATGTGTTCGCAGCACGTGTCGGTCTGGTGCATATCGGCGTGTTCATCTTGTTGCTGTTAAGCGGAGAGAGGAATTTCGGGGTGCGTCTGAATAAGCCGTACTGTGTGCGTGTGCCAATGGATATTTCAGTGTTCGCTGGGACTCACGCCGACCTGCTGATAGTGGTACATGCATCTGCCTTTGCTATTGAAGATGGTTTAAAAGCCACAAAGTAATACAATAAAAGCATCATAACATTAGGCCAAATGATTTGTGCACTTTTTTTTCACTATTTGTGTGAGTTATTCACAGATTTAAAGGGATACTCCACCCAAAAATGAAAATGCTGTCATCATTTACTCACCCTCAAGTTGTTGCAAACCTGTATGAGTTTCTTTCTCCTGATGAACACAAAGGAAGATATTTTGAAGAACGATTGGAACTTTGGCACCATTTGACTTTCATAGTATTTTTTTATTTATTTTTCTACTATGGAAGTCAATGGTGCCAAACAACTGTTTGATCCCAATCGTTCTTTAAAATATTATCTTCATTTGTGTTCAGCAGAAGAAAGAAACTGATACAGGTTTGCAACAACTTGAGGGTGAGTAAATGATGACAGAATTTTCATTTTTGGGTGGAGTATCCCTTTAATTTGTCCTCCCATTAGCTCTCAAATCTCATTTGCACATGCATTTTAAAACTTAGTGCATCATGATTATTTCTAAGAAGTACATCCTTGATGAAGATAAGCTAATGAGATTTAAGAACTGATTTGAATTGAAATATAAAATAATTCTTCCTTTGATCGACAGGTTTTCCATAAGATCATCACCAGTGGCCATCAGCGATTGCAGCCCCTGTATGATTGTCTTCTCACTGTTATAGTCAATGGTAAGTGCGTTTGCTCAGAGAAAAGCATATGTTTTGAGTAGGGCTGTCAAACGATTAATCACCATTAATCGCATCCAAAATAAACGTTTGTGTTTACATAATATATGTGTGTGTACTGTGTATAATTATTTTGTATATATTTAAGAAAAATGTTATTTATATATAAAATGTTTATGTTTATATAAAATATACATTATATATAGGCTACATTCAGTCTATATACATGCAAATATTTCTTAAATACACATGCATGTGTGGGTATTTATGTATTAAAAATAATTAAACACAGTACACACACGTATATTATGTAAACACAAACTTTTATTTTGGATGCGATTAATCGTTTGACAGCCCTAGTTTTGAGAGATTGTTTTATTTCCTGATGGATCGTTTCTGTTGTTGTTTCAGTGTCTCCTTACCTGAAAAGTCTGTCTATGGTAGCGGCCAACAAACTACTACACCTGCTGGAGGTTTTCTCCAACACCTGGTTCCTGTTCTTCTCACCTGCTAACCACCACCTGGTTTTCTTCTTGCTAGAAGTTTTTAACAACGTCATTCAGTACCAGTTCGATGGTGAGAGTTTGAAGCTGCATCGCTGTTGTAAATACAGTCTGCACAGTTCTGCATTTAAATGACTAATAACATTAAAAAAGTGGAAGTGACTAAAGTGTAATTATTGAATGCAAATCATTTTAGCATATAGCATGCTTTCTACAGCAAGCCTTGGTACACAATCCTTAAAAAAAATTAACGTTCAGCAGATGCATTTCTAACTTGAATGTGTGAGTCTTCCATAGTCATTTGTGTCCAGTTATTTTACTTGTACAAATGAAAACCGTCTGTTTTGCTTCTTCATATTGCAAAATAGTTTTACCATTCACTGCACTTTTCTTCTAGTTAGCACTAATAAATCAGAAGTCTTGCACATTTAAAGTCAAGTCACCTTTTATTTCTACAGTGCTTTAGACAATGCTGTTTCAAAGCAGCTTCACAGTAATAAACAGGAAAATAATAGAAAATATGAGAACATTTTAATTTATGCTGTAAAGCAGCTCTTAAAGACAAAGGTGTCATTATTCAGCTTAAGTCAGTTCATTGTTGATTCAGTTCTTAAGTGTAAATTTCACAGATTTTCAAAGTAGATCGCTTCCTTCAATGTTGCAAAATAGGTGGATAGAATGACATATTTAAGGAGCATGGCGATTTTAATTTACATCATGCATTTGTATTCATCTGTGTAATCAGGTAACTTTAACCTGGTGTACGGCATCATCCGCAAGCGCAACCTCTTCCACCAGCTGGCGAACCTGCCCACCGACGCCAGCTCAATCCAGAAAGCTCTGCAGAGGAAGAGCAGGAGCAACAGCACCCATAATGCCGTCTTCATGGAGACCAACAGCCCCTACAGCGCCACCTGCAGTGAGAAGCCATATAAAACCACACCGGTTCAAACGGGCACTCTGAACGCAAGCTTGAAGGCCATACCACGTACGAAACCCACTTTCTCTATATAAATACACACAGTTGCACCATTTACCCTCGGTATCGTGTTGTCAAACCCCTGGATGGCCACAGTCCTATACACCCAAACATGACAAAACACACATACCTGTAGTTTTCAAATAGATCAGCTGGATCTGGTGTGTTTAAATGGGGTTGAAGCTAAACTCTGCAGGGCTGTGGTCCTCCAGGAACTGAGCTTTCCACCCCTGATTATTAAGTTGTTTCCATCCACATGTCTTTAAGAGAATTTAGCAGTAGCACCTCATTGCAGTACAGGAGATCCAGGGGGTGGAGTTGGATCCAGATGTAAGGGGTGGAGATGGGTAGGAATAGGGGTGGGGTTAGGGATCAGGGGGCGGAGATGGGTAGGTTTCAGGGGTAGGCAAGTTCGGTCCTAGAGAGCCGCTGTCCTGCAGAGTTTAGCTCCAACACTGAGAAAAACCTCTCCTGCCTATAGCCTTAGTAATCCTGAAGACATTGATTAGCTTGTTCAGGTGTGTTTGATTAGGGTTGGAACTAAATTTTGCAGGACAGCGGCTCTCTAGGACCGAACTTGCCTACCCCCCAGTTTAGGTATATGTAAGGTGGGAGGAGTTGGATCTGGATTCAACTCCTCCCCCTGGATTTCTTGTTCTGCAGTGAGAACCATCTCAAATTTAGGGATATTGCATAAAAATATGATGGATGCAAACTGCACATAACATCTTGCAGGTAACAAGACATGTATATACAGTAAACTATGATGGAAACACATTTACCGAATAAATTCCATGATGCTCATCAAAACACTCATGTGATTGGTCCACCGGTTAGTCCAGTTCTGTCAGGTCCATTAAGTCAAGAACACACAGACAAAATAATTAAGAATTATTTGAATAGATTGCAAACAGGTTGATGTTCCTGAATTGAAATTTGGCGGTATGGCTCTGTTCAGGGAGTCCTCTGACCTTTCATGAGCACCATGAAATAGCAGAGAGTCAGAGGACAGCAGCAGCAGCATTAGGGAACGCTCACACAGTTTTAGACTGTGAGAGCTAAAATATCCACCTGTGAACAGAGCAGCAACATGACATAGCAAATGCCACGTTATGCATAAGGAGGAGCTGGGGAGGTGGCGGGCAGCAGAGCGAGCAGCGAGCCAGCAGAAGCGAGCAGCGAGCTAGCAGAGCGAGCAGCAAGCATGTATGAGCAAGGTGAATGAGCTTAAAATAAGGCGCCTTGTTTGAGCTTGGCCATTGAACAGCGAGGGGAGTTAACCAGCTAATGCAGCTCAGCTGGAGCAGATCAGCTGACGGGACAGTGTTGATAGCAAATAGCATAAGCAGCAGCTTGACTACCTGGCCTGCCAGAACTGACGCTGACGCTCGATTTCTGTCAGGTCCATTAAGTCAAGAACACACAGACAAAATAATTAAGAATTATTTGAATAGATTGCAAACAGGTTGATGTTCCTGAATTGAAATTTGGCGGTATGGCTCTGTTCAGGGAGTCCTCTGACCTTTCATGAGCACCATGAAATAGCAGAGAGTCAGAGGACAGCAGCAGCAGCATTAGGGAACGCTCACACAGTTTTAGACTGTGAGAGCTAAAATATCCCCCCAAACAAAACCACACCTGGCAATCCTCTGTGATACAGAGGATGATTATTTGACCACACGAGCTATTCCCCCCAAAACAAAATTGAGTGTCTCGAACGGTGTCGACTGAGCCGCCCTAATTTAGCGATTTATAATAGTAAAAATATTGATTTAGCGATTTATAATAGTAAAAATATTGATTAATTACTGAAATGACTAATCAAGACCGCAATAGCTAAAACATGCTGTTACCTAGATTATCTGTATTTACTGTTTGACAGTCTACAGTGTAAGCTCTATGGATAGATGATTAATCCACCTCTGAGAACGAGCTAGATGAATAAATGAACAGCTGATAGCGCATTCAGGGGCGTTAACTGAGCAGAGCGCGAGCAAAATAATGATCAAATGTGTTTTATTAACGAAACAAATCAGAGACTTGAGCTCATGGCTTCTGGGCGTCAAGAATATCCCGAACATCGGGACGGAGGTATCGTTCGTAAGCAGCAGAAACCACCGCCCCATAGCTTAAAGGGTTAAACCGGAGCGAGTACGTGTCACCGCCGTAGTTGTTGGACAATGCGTAAGAATGAGCTGTATACGGTCCGGAGGCAGTCCGCAGAAGTGAATTCCTATCACAGCAAGCTGTTTGAATCTGCGCTGCATAGTGGTAAAAGCCAGCGTGAGCAACGCGATCAGTTGCCAATGACAACAGATAACGCACGTAGCCAATATGATCGCATAAGCATTTTTATGAAAACGATTAGTTAGATAAGCCCAAATGCCACACGAATAGCATTAACAAGAAGGATGTTGCCAACACACTGATAGCTTTTAGCAATGAATATTAAAAAGGAACTTAGCTTCGTGAAGATTTTCAGAGATGAATGGAGAATGAATCACGTCGTCCTGTGTCAATATTGCAGCAGAAGCGAGCAGCGAGCCAGCAGAAGCGAGCAGCGAGCTAGCAGAGCGAGCAGCAAGCATGTATGAGCAAGGTGAATGAGCTTAAAATAAGGCGCCTTGTTTGAGCTTGGCCATTGAACAGCGAGGGGAGTTAACCAGCTAATGCAGCTCAGCTGGAGCAGATCAGCTGACGGGACAGTGTTGATAGCAAATAGCATAAGCAGCAGCTTGACTACCTGGCCTGCCAGAACTGACGCTGACGCTCGATTTATCCGGGACTATCTTATCTCACACCATCTTAAATTTTGTCATTCTGAAATGCATGAGCAAAAGTCTCGCACAGTAATAAACTCTTATAATAATAACAAGTGGCAGATGGAATTGGATGAATGCCACGAAAATTAAGTTTTTTTTTATTTTTAGTTCTAATATAGGTATGATCATGTTGTTTCTACTAGCTGCTGTTCAGGTCATTCAAGATTCATATTTATTCATATTCCTCTTTATTGAAAGGTGAAGAACCACCATCTTCCTTGTCAAACTCGAATGACCGTTAAACGTATATATTACTGCACTTCATTGTTTTCAAAAGTAAATCGATATACTTGAGATGTTCAAGATCAAAAGTATCTCCTGAATGTATTTTAGTTAGTCAATTTACAATTTTTGTTACTTGTATGACTTTTTTTTTTTTGTTCGTTAAAGATATCCTTACTGATGACATGGCATAAAAAATATAGTTGGTTCATTATGTTGCAGGCATCGACAAACTAACAGAAGCGTCGCAGGTTTCTGAGGACGGATCTACGCTGTTAATGCAGAACAGTGACTCGCCTCTCAGCCAATCAGAGCGCAGCTCTGAGACACGAGTCCCAGACGCTGAAGCGACTTCAGGTGAAGATGACAAGGTACAGCATCACTTGATGACCTCTGGCATTTATGTTTGTTTGTTCTGTTTATATCAATAAAATATGTTCTTTTTTTAATCATTTAGAATTCGTTAAGTGAGGATGGTGATCTGAAGAGTCAGAAAAGCGTGTCGTCGTCATCAGACTGGACTCCTGCTCCGGACTGGGTGAGTCATGAAGCCTCAGCTATAGACCAATGCTTGTGAGGACCTCCTGTACACTACAGTATTTGTGAACATTTTTAGAAAGGATAGCTATGCATATTCCTCTCCAAAACACTCACTCACATCCAATGCAGCAGCCATATCACCCTGTAGCCCAAGACTGGTTGCCCACTGAAGCTAAGCAGGGCTGAGCCTGGTTAGTACCTGGATGGGAGACCTCCTGAGAAAACCAGGTTGCTGCTGGAAGAGGTGTTAGTGAGGCCAGCAGGGGGCGCTCACCCTGTGGTCTGTATGGGTCCTAACGCCCCAGTATAGTGACGGGGACACTATACTGTCAAAGAGCACCGTCCTTCGGATGAGACGTTAAACCGAGGTCCTGACTCTCTGTGTTCATTAAAAATCCCATGGCACTTCTCGTAAAGAGTAGGGCTGTAACCCCGGTGTCCTGGCCACATTCCACCCATTGGCCCCTGCCAATCATGGCCTCCTAATAATCCCCATCCACTGAATTGGCTCTATCACTCTCTCTCCTCTCCAACTATAGCTGGTGTGTGGTGAGCGCACTGGTGCCGTTGTACTGTGGCTGCCGTCGCATCATCCAAGTGGATGCTCACACTGGTGCTGGTTGAGGAGAGAACCCCTGATATGGTTGTAAAGCGCTTTGGGTGTACAGTAGTACATATGAAAGCGCTATATAAATGCCTCATTCATTCAATGCGTTTATCAATCTGTTCATGCTCTCTGTCAGGTCCTCTCCTGGAAGAGTAAACTTCCTCTGCAGACTATAATGAGACTCCTGCAGGTGCTGGTGCCTCAGGTGGAGAAAATCTGCATAGACAGGTGAGACACACACACACACACACACTCTCTCTCTCTCTCTCTCTCACTCACTCACTCACTCACTCACTCACTCACTCACTCACTCACTCACTCACTCACTCACTCACTCACTCACTCACTCACTCACACACTCTCACTCACACTCACACTCTCACTCTCACTCACACATACACACACATACTCACACACATACACACACATACACTCTGACTCGCACACATACACACACACTCTCACACTCTCTCACACACACTCACACACACACACACACACCCACACACACCCACACTCTCACTCACACATACACACTCACTCAGACTCACACACATGCACACATACTCACACACATATGCACACACATACACTCAGACTCGCACACATATACACTCTCTCACACACACACTCTCACACACACACACACACCCACACTCTCACTCACACATACACGCACTCACTCTCACTCACACACACACACACACACAAACTCGCACACATACACACACACATACACTCAGACTCACACACACACATACACTCACTCACTCACACACACTCAGGCAACACACACACATACACACACACACACACATCATGATCTCCAGCATGATGTTTCCAAAAATCATCATACATTTAATACATTTTATAGAAATAGTGCAGAATCTGATATATTGCTTCAATTTACATCGTCTTTTATGTTTCATAGTCCTATAGCCAGGTTTAAAGAACAGATTTTCTCAGATGTGATCTCATAGTTTATAGTGGCATTTAACCAAAAACCCATTGATTCGGGACGATGGAAACAAAAGTGCTAACTTGTCTCTGGGTTTTGGCCTTCAACGATACGTGATCCCGCAGCACTGTCTTGACTGAGAGACTCTTGTTGTTCTCGCAGAGGTTTGACGGATGAGTCTGAGATCCTGCAGTTCCTTCAGCACGGCACTCTGGTGGGTTTGCTGCCGGTTCCTCATCCCATCCTCATCCGCAAGTACCAGGCCAACGAGGGCACGGCTCTGTGGTTCCGCACCTACATGTGGGGCATCATCTACTTACGGTGAGCTCTGCTCTCCGTCTCCCTCTACAGGACACACACGGAATCAATAAGCATGAATACAAAGTCAATTTCATTTAAAGGTTGGGTAGGTCGTTTTTGGTCTAAAAAACTTTTTCCCAAATTTGTTTAAACTTTCTATATATATCAATGCATAATTAAAATGTAAGTACTCTGATAAAAAGAGTATAAAAATCGAGTGACTCTAGACCGTTTAATCTGCACTAAACACAGCTCATTATTTCCTTCCGGGACGAAACAAAGGATTGGCTTAGGCGACTGTCACTCTCTCGCAACCATGGCAACACCCCCGCTGCTACATGCGCTGCCCACATGCGCGCACTCGTTTGACTCGAGGAGGGTAAGAGACTAGTAAGAGACACAATTACATGCAAAACACGGCGTATATGTTATGAATCTTACACAAAATTCACCTTCATCACAGTGTAACTGATTGTAATGGGAAAACGTGTATCAATGCAACCTGTTTTTAGCTTTGCTTTATGTTACTAGCTCGTTAACGAATCAAACTCAATATATTTTAAACTTTAACAGTATCGATATGCTAGCTTGATAGTGAGTATTAACAGCCATGTTAGTTGTTTATATTCATAATGATAAAGTTAGGTATTTTATTACATGTGAGTCTGACATGATGTCACTACATGCACTGCTCCTCTCCGCTCGGCGCTAGTAAGCGCGTCCTCCAGCTGTGAGCTGTCGGCATCGCGCGTTCATGTGTTTTGGGGGCGTGGTTTTGGAAGGAGCCCAGAATGGAGGGGGTGGAAGTGAATGGAGATAAGTAGCTGTGTTTATTACAGCCCTGAGAGGACTACAGACACTCGATTTTTATACTCTCTGTTCCAGAGTACTTACATTTTAATTATGCATTGATATATATAGAAAGTTTAAACAAATTTGGCAAAAAGTTTTTTAAAAAAATTCTACCTACAATACCTTTAATATAATCTAGTATTATATATTTTTTAGTGCTGTGCAACGATTAATCACATCCAAAATAAAAAATGTTGTTTACATAATATGTGTGTGTACTGTGTATAATTATTTTGTATATATAAATACACACATATGCATGTATATATGTAAGAATTATATTTCTATATACATGCAAATATTTCTTAAATATATACATGCATGTGTGTATTTATATATGCAAAATAATTATACAGTACACACACATATATTATGTAAACACAAACTTTTATTTTGGATGTGATTAATCGTTGCCCAGCACTAATTTTTGTGATGTTTTGAATGTATTCACATGTGGCTAACATCTCATAAAACATAATAAAAGTTTCTTTTTTTCTTGTTTTAGTAACGTGGATCCTCCTGTTTGGTACGACACTGATGTCAAGCTGTTTGAGATCCAGAGAATTTAACGACATCAAGAGAATCGACTCAACTGAACTGATTCGGTTCCTCCAAACTAAACACTCAGAAGCAAGAATTTAACTTCACATTATCTCTCCAGAATTGAATTCAACGCAGTCTAAGATTTCGTTTTCCTTGCCTTGTTTTTGTGTTGTACAGTATATAGGAATGAATGAACTGATGCTGCTCAGTCCAACTGTTCTGTTGTTTTTGACACCGTTTCATTTTCCGCTGTGAGTCGATCCATGAGAGCGGACACACACAACCCTCAGGTCTCTGACCTCGTGAACAGCGAGAGGAGTGTGTGTTTATATTGGGTTTTTTTTTTATGTTATTTTTACTGTAATAGTGTTCTGTGTGTAAATGAACTCTGTATATAAACTGAAGCAAAAACTTAATGTTGGGAAACCTGAATGCTGCATATATAGAAATACTATAAAAACTTTCTTTAATGCCGTTTGGTCCAGTTTATTGTTTGCAAATCGAATATATGTCAGAAACCTGTTCAAATTAGTATGGAACAGAATATTATATAATATGCAATTTTATATCTCTCTGAATGATACAGGATATTTAATGGGGAAAAAAGGTGAATGAGACTTTTAGTAGGGAGGTTAAGTGACTTTTGACTTCAAGTCATGATGCAAAGGTCCCCTTTGGTATGGAAGTACCTTAGGGCCATAGAAATAAATTTATCCTAAGACACAAGTGAGATCACATTTTGTATCTTATATACACACATTTTTTAAAAATGGCCGCCGACCATACTTGAGAGGCCCATATCTTTGCTTCTGTCATAGCTATAATGACAAATTTGGTATCAACGGGTACATTTTTGTGGTCAAGGAGTCCAATAAAATAGGTTCCAAGACTAAAAAACAATAATGTTGTCCTTAACATGACAATTGGAGGTGAAGTATGCAATTTTTTATTAAAAAACGCATGCCAAACACACAGTCCATTCACAACTTAATAATTTCTTCGTTTAGGTCTGCTTCGCATGCGCCCTTTACAGCACTGGCTGAAGACGTGGGTCCTGCGTCGAGCATGGGCATCCGGTCGTTTACGTCTCAAGGTAACTCAGAACTGTGTCACAGCTCTGGAGCCCTGGAAGGCGGTCGACTGGTATCAGACAGGTGTAAACCTGGGAGTAATCTCTAAACTGATAGTGGTTTCGACAGACGCCTCCAATTCGGGCTGGGGCGCCCTCTATGAGGGCAGACCGACTTTTGGCCTGTGGTCAAGCCAAGAAAAGAGCTTGCACATAAACTGTCTAGAGATGAAGGCGGTCGAGAACGCCTTGCGGTTCTTCCTTCCCCTTCTAAAGGGCCACCATGTCCTTGTCCGCACGGACAACATGTCGGTGGTTTCCTACATAAATCGCCAGGGCAGTCTGAGATCACGGAACCTTCATGCACTGGCAGAACGCATCCTTGTATGGGTTCAGCACCCATCACTGGCCCAGCCCATCACTGGCCCAGCCCATCACTGGCGGCTGGGCTGCCCATCACTGGCCCAGCCGCCCTCTCTATGCTTTCCCTCTGATCATGCTGTTACCACAGGTAATCAAGCCTATAAGGGAGAACGGTTCCTGTGTACTTCTAGTAGCTCCGTTCTGGCCGAACCAAGTTTGGTTTCTGGAGCTGATGCAGCTTCAGAGCTTGCCTCCGTGGCCTGTCCCATTGAGGAGAGATCTCCTCTCACAGGCCGGGGGTACGATTTGGCACCCACGACCCGAGCTTTGGGCTCTGCATGTGTGGGCCATCAACGGGTACCCATCAGTCTCCCCGACGGAGTGTTAAACACGATTACGCAAGCTAGAGCGCCCTCTACTAGATGGCTTTATGGTTCCAAGTGGTCAGTGTTCTCAGGTTGGTGCTCAGCTCGCAACCTGGATCCACAAGATTGTGGGGTGTCGGAGGTTCTCTCCTTCCTACAGGAGCTCTTGGATAAGGGTAGATCCCCATCCATGCTCAAGGTATATGTGGCGGCTATTGCTGCGTTTGTCAAACATTCGCATGGCCAGTCACTGGGTAGGAACGACCTTGTAGTCCGCTTCCTCAGGGGAGCTAGAAGGATGAACCCTCCTCGCCCCCCCTCGGACCTTTCCTTGGTCCTGGAGGCCATGAAGGGTGCCCCTTTCGAACCTCTACAGTCTGTGGACCTTAAGTATCTCTCATTGAAAACCGCCTTTCTGGTGGCTATCGCCTCAGTCAAGCTGGTGGGTGACTTACACGCACTTTCTGTTAGTGCGTCGTGCCTTGAGTTTGGGCCTAATGACTCCAAGGTCATCCTCAAACCAAGACATGATTATGTCCCCAAAGTACTTGCCACTCCTTTCAGAGCACAAGTCTCTGTGGATCTGACAGCGAGTCTGACATTCTCTCGTCACAGGCGATTTTTGAGATTCACCTTCGAGGGCCAGGCATATCAATACACAGTCCTACCGTTCGGCCTGTCCCTGGCATCCTGTATATTATGATGTACATGGACGCGGCTCTCGCGCCCCTGAAACTTCAGGGAATGCCAGCTTTGAACTATTTGGACGATTGGCTGATTCTAGCTCGATCTCATTCAGAGCTCATAGAACACAGGACCATATTACTCGAACACCTCGAGAATCTTGGTCTCACAGTCAATTGGGCGAAGAGCCAGGAAATATCCTTTCTGGGCACAGAGCTGAACTCGCTGTCAATGACAGCGCGACTATCGCCAGAGCGCATACTGAACATTGCGGCACTATAGTCCCGCTCAAGAGATTTCAGAAGATGCTGGGCCTCATGGCCTCATCATCATCAGTACTCCAGCTGGGTCTGCTTCGCATGCGCCCACTGCAGTGGTGGCTGAAAGCACGAGTGCCGTCTCAAGCTTGGGCCTCCGATCTGTTTCGCCTCAGGGTCAATCAGAAATGCGTCGCAGCTCTGAAACCTTGGAAGGCGACCGACTGGTACTGGTACCACCGCCTCTTCAATCTGACATTCTCTCTTCGGATCTGACAGCGAGTCTGACGTGAATCTCCTTTGCCTGGTTAGGGCCCTTGGAACGTTCGGCTGCTTTCAGACGGTCAGGACAGCTATTTGTTTCGTTTGGTGGCCGATCTAAAGGTCTAGCTGCCTCGAAACATAGCCTTTCCAGGTGGAAAGTGGACGCTATCTCACTGGCTTATACATCTAAGAGCCTTCGTTGCCCTCTGGGCGTCAGAGCTCATTCCACTAGAGGCATGCCTCTTCATGGGCCTGGTCCAGTGGGATTTCCCTTCACGATATCTGTATGGCGGCAGGCTGGGCCTCTCTGTCTACATTTATAGGGTTCTATAACCTGGAAGTTCCCGCGCTCCAAGCTAGACTGTTGTCAGTTTAGTTTATCCGCTCAGTTCTGCCGGACTCGGTTCCGCGGACTGCAAAGTTTTCAGTTCAGGCAGGCTATTGCCTCCCCTGACTGTTATACCGTGTTAAGCACCCTCTATGCATTTAAGGTAACCACGTTTACCTTATATCATTCTTATTAAGCCCATTCCCAATGTCGGCTTTTCATATCCCCATATCATATGAACTCAGGGCGCTCGCCCTTGGGTCAGTGTTGTGGTAGATTTAGCACGCACGGCGTTTTAAATTGGATTCCCGTAGCGTAAGCTAGCTTACGCAACACGAGAGTACTCTCGTAAGAGAACGTCACGGTTACTAACGTAACCTCGGTTCTCTCTAGAAGAGGGAATGAGTGTTGCGTAACCCTGCCGTGCTTGTGCTACCATCTGGTTTCGCTTCAGTCGATGAAAACCAAGGAGCATCTTATCGAGCTCTGGCTTATATAGGCATAAGCCACGCCCATTCGCCCACTCATTGGTGCTTACGTCACGAGCAGTGCCTCGATAGGTTGCAGCAGTTGCCGCATAGCATCCAATAGGCGCGCGAGCTGCCTCGCCTAGGTCTGCTAGCTGCAGCAAGTGTGTTTTAAATTAATACAAATTATAAGGATAATTTTTGGCTTCAGTATTCTCGAGAAAAGAGGTTTTCCCTCTAAGGTTTTTTTTTCCATAGTCAACTAGCTAGCTATTTATTAGTTATCTAACATTAAAAAAAAAAAATTTATTTAATGAGAAAGTCATACGAACCTCAAAGTGTTAACCTGTCACCTCTGACCTTCAACAGCTGTCACAGCTCCTGGTGCAGATGGGATGTGTTGTTGCAGGAACTGATATGCTATAGGCTACTCCTGACTGGTCGAAATCTCATGCTACTTAGGACAAATGTAATGTACAGAAGTAGCTGCACTGCTTAAATACAAAATTAAAGTTTTTGAACGAAAAGATAAGTAAAGTCACTCTGATGACAATTTTTATGTGAAATGTGCATATTTACCCCCAATTGTCATGGTATGGGGAAAATTATTATTTTTTTAAACTTGAAACCAATTTTATTGGATTCCTTGACCCCAAGAATGTACACTTTGACACCAAATTTGTCATTATAGCGATAACAGAAGCAAAGATATGGGCTCTAGAGTATTTTCGGCGCATTGGCGGCCATTTTTGAAAAAACATGTTTATTTCTGATACAAAGTGTGATCTCACTTGTGTCTTAGGATAAATTTATTTGTATGACCCTAAGGTACTTCCATACCAAAGGAGACCTTTGCATCATGACTTGAAGTCAAAGGCCTATTTTTTGGGCTTAACCTCCCTACTATTCAATTAATCCATCAGAAATTGATTGGACTTTAAAAAGTGTCTCTATCTGACAAGTTCTTAGATCATTTCAGAGGCAGAGCAAGTTATGAAGGCAAACTTGTGGCTAAAATCCAGGTGAAAAGATTTGATAAAATGTCATATTTATATAAATAATATAAAATTGACAGAAAGTAGCTATTTCCAACATTGCAAAGTGTCCTTTTGCACTGGGTGTGCAGGTTATTTACTCATGTTTGATTTAATCTAAATATAATTGGCATTCGTGCCAAATCGTGCATCAATATTGATTATTCTCCTAATGTGGATCTAACAGAGTGTGATCTTCATGAATGTGTCACCGCAGGTGTGACTTCTCATCTCTCAGGTGTGCGCTTAGAGGAAGTGGGCGTGGCCTTTCCGGAGGTCTCCCATAGCAACCGCTCGAGCGTAAAATGCAGTTGCTCGATTGGAGACGCCTGAAGCGCACGTGAAATCTCGCCAACACACACACACACACACAGACGACAGATGACCGTCCGTGAGCCGGGGTAGAGGTTCATTCGCCGCCATGAACGATAAATACCACCGGGCGGCTCGAGACGGGCACCTGCACCTGCTGAGAGACGCGACGCGCAAAGACCTGAACGCGCCGGATGAGGATGGGATGACGCCGACGCTCTGGGCCGCGCACCACGGCAACCTGGACGCGCTCAGACTGCTGGTGGCACGAGGGTCAGTGATGCGTCAATTATTTATGGAGAATGTATATAACTATTCATGCATTAATTTTTTTTTAAACATGATTTTCTATTTAAAGTTTTAATTTCGAGACACCGAATGACGTATGTGTGAAAATAATAATAATAGAGTTTTTTTTATTTTTTTATTCGCTGATTGTCAAATTTCATCAGGCTGTTGTTATTGAGACTGTAAGCATTTCTTTTCAGAACTGGACTGTTATCTAGTAGTAACAGTTTGACTCTCCAGCAATAAAAAAATGCATTGTGCAAAAATACAATATAACAAGATTCATGTAGCAGTCTGAAAATCTTAGCATGATGTGAATATTTATTTCCTTTACTCACTTTAATGCCTGGGGTCGCTGAGACCCTCGTTAATGCAATATTTTTCAGAGAAGATGTGTTATGTAATCTGTTATGGACTGCTGATCAGTTTTGTTTTTTAGCATTTATTAAACAGAAGGTTTTGAAAGAGATAAAAAATTCAGTAACGCTTTATGTTAGGGTGACATAGTTGCACGTTATACATGTACTTCTAGTAAATGAGTCCGAAACAGTAAATGATGCATAATTACAAGTAACTAACCCTAAACCAAACCCACAACCTTAACTCTATAGTAAGAACATGTAGTTAATTCATTTTACTCAGTACTTATTTGAGTCACTTTAAAATAAAGTGTAACCAAAAATTCTTTGTGGAACTTTAAATGATTATAGCATCAGTCTGTAAAGCCCTTTATATCTTTGATTCTACTTGAAGAAGGTAGTTTATACATTTTTAAAATAATTAATATGATATACAGCCCTCTCAGGTCTAGTTATGTTTTGGCTCATACGGTCTCATTAACAGGATGGCTGTTCTGTGTTCTCCTGTATCGGATCACATCTGCACTGAGATCATCTAGTCCTAAACCCAGACGCTCTCACTGATGGATATCTGGATTGTTTTATTTGCATATTTACTGCTCTGGGCTAATTAAAATAAAGGTCACCAGGAGAATAATGCATCTCTCTTGAATTATGCTTTTCCGTTGTCTTGTCTTACTGTTTAAAAGCAGGCCTATATTATATAATAAATGATGAACTCTGCATGCAGAGGAGTTGCGGATAAAGGCTTACTGTAATTTGTCATGGACATCTGCAGCGTTCAGCAGTCTTACTGATATTTTTAAAGGAATAGTTCACAAAATAATGCTGTTAATCTGATTTTTACATGTGGAGCAGGCTGCACCAACACATCATGAGGGAAAGTGAATAATAACATTATTTAAAATTTTTTGTGAACTGTTCTTTGGGAGGAACTTGCTTTAGGAGAAAGCTGTAGCATTGCATTGTTTCTCAAGTCATTAGGTAATTAGATCTAAATAACCTGGCTCTTATCTCAAGACAAGGTTAATAATGGAAGCTAAATGTTCTGCTCTGTGAACACCCTCACTGTTCTCTAATTAGTGTTCTCCGTCAGATCTGTTACTGAAACACATTCACGTTTGAGTCATAGCTCAGCATTTAGAGTTCATGATTCCCAAAGTGGAGAGAGAATCACTTTGTAGTGTAAGCTTTTATTTGGATGTGATGAGTATGCATTTTCTGTACTGATTTTGAGGTAATATTAATGGAATACTGTGGAATGGGTTATACTTAAGTAATGTTTACGTCAATGTGAAATGCTGTTTGCAACCCATTTCTGAATAAAACAGGATATTTAACTAAAAAATGAAGGCGAGCCCTAGATTTTATCCATCAGGAGTGGACTGGATTATTAAAAGAAAAGTCTGCATTAGATTATTAAACAGAGTCAGGTTGTTGGAGATGAGATATCATCCAAAAAGGAAAGTCATTCATAGCAAGTTTTAACATTTTAAAAAAAGATTTCAAAAATAATATTTGAAATTAGATGCACATTATGCTGAATAAGGCCAAAATGTGTACTACTGAATTTTAATTTTGAACAGAGCTTTTCTTGATAGCTGAAAAAAGGCTTTTACTTGAAAGAAGTACGAGAGTATTAATAAAAACAGACTGCATCGACCAACTGAGCATCAGGGCTCCAGCGTGTCTGTGCTACATCTCTAACGTGCAGGACGTTTTAATGCTTGAGATTTTAAGAGGAGTTCATGGCCTCGTGCACATTTACAGGGAGGACTTTTACACATGGCCAGACAGAGAGAAAGATGTTAATGTTCACAGTTAAAGGTCAACATAATGAATTAGGGCTATTCCTCTGCCACCTTCCTGTTTCTCTGGCTGTTGGCAGTTCTTTGACTTGAATGTCAGGACCATTATGCACCTCAGTCTTTCACGTTTTTTGCTTTCTGCATTTCAATTCTGTGACCCCACATGGTCCCATAAAACCTTGCATAGTTTGTGCTGGTCTCTGCTAATGAGTGGAGCATTTGTCCTCTTGCAGGCATGAGAATTTGAGACTAAAAGAGAAAACACTGAGCGGTTATATGGACCTTAGTGAGGGCAGACAGCATTGAATCTGTATTGACTAAGGTATGTTGGACTTCAGTTGGTTTAAGGGAAAACATAGACCTACATAATTTTGACACTCAGATTATTGGTTAATGTTACACTGACTTACAATAAACTGGGTTTTGCACTTGTGCTAAATTGTCACACGCATGAAACAAGCAAAAAAAGAAAGTCTGTAAAAGTATGGTTGGTAATGAATACTGCAGATCTCTTTCTGTGTAGATAATGAATGCATTACATGGTGCACAGTTTTTAATGACTTCGAGAGGTGAGTCACAAAGGCAGTTTGCATAATGTGTGTAGGCGTGTGTACATGTGTGTTACAGGGGGTAAGTGGAGCTCCAAAGCATCATGTTACTTATTTAGATTAACACCTTGCCACATAACAGAACATGAATGCATGCACTCATGCACATGTGCACACACACATGTATTCATTCACACACTCTATATTTACACTAGTAATTGGCCAATTAATCAACCAAAATGTGATCATTTTGAGATTATCATTATCACCATTGGCCAGGAACCATTTTGGCCAGAAAACTTTAATAAATTGTTTTATTACGCGCCACGGCTCTGTGGAATACTTGATTCTGATTGGTCAATCGTGCCATCCAGCAGAATGTAACAACCGGTAAAAACTGATAACATAAACTCATCCGGGTAACTGAAGTCGGCACTTTATGCTTGCTAGGAACGTTTTTTACCCGTGGAAGTTTTGCGTTTGGTGAGCAAATAAAATATTAAAACTCAAATCAATATTTTGTGTACAGTTATATAATTGTCATCTGGTATCGCGGACTCTATCTCTTGTTTCATACAAACTCAGCTGTTGACATTTTGCGATGATTGTCTTGTACACTGTAATGGATGATAAAGGCCCTTGCACACTGAGTCCGAAATTTTCGTATGCGTTTTTTCGTATTCGTGATTTGGTGGCTCTGAATTGTCAAACACCATTCAAACTCCATGCTACGGATGCGAAAAACGCAGAAAATCAAACCAAATTAAAAAAAATTTTAAGACGAAAGTTTCGGAGGCAGTGTGCAAGCGTGATTGACATGACGTTTTTAACGTGTGAAAATTTCGGACTCGAATTTCGGACTCGGTGTGCAAGGGCCTTAAGACAGGTACGATTTTAAAACATATCAATATTTCTGATCCCCATAATTATTTATGTGGTGAAATACCATGTAATAAGTGGTATGACTGTATTCCGTAATCTCTTAAATGTCCTTCTAGTTTGAACTTGCCACTTGCTAGCAACTGCTCTCTCCACGGAAGCTTTGCTTTTAAAGAGCTAATGACATATTTTCGGATGTGACTCAGATCAATATTTAATTTAAATATTTTAATAAGTGGGATAATGTACATCCAGCTGGTTGTTATCACACTTGATATCATCTTGCATCAACCTGTCGGGTTTATTCTACGATAACAACTGGCTGGATTTGCATTATCCCTTACTTACATATTGGCCATCAGCCGCCCTGCCCTTTAGACATCGGTATCAGTCACTGACAAAACCATATCCATCGACCACTCATTTTGGCCATGTAAACTATGTTAGAAACAGCAGAATAGAATTAAACATAACCAATCCACTATTGCTTTTGTTATTTGGTCCACAGTGGAGATCCAGACAAATGTGATATTTGGGGAAACACTCCCCTTCACCTGGCGGCAGCTAACGGCCATCTGAACTGTCTGTCCTTTCTGGTGTCATTTGGCACCAACGTGTGGTGTTTGGACAATGACTACCACACGCCACTGGACATGGCAGCTTCTAGGGGTCACATGGACTGTGTTCGATATCTGGACTCTATCGCCGCCAAACAGATCGCCATCAACCCCAAGCTGGTGAGCAAATTGAAGGACCGTGGCTTCCGTAATGCAGAGAAACGCATAATGAACTGTGAAAAGCTTCAGCGCAAACATCACGAACGCATGGAGAAGCATTTCTTGAGAGAGAGCGCTGCGATGGACATGTCGGATACGATGAGTTACAGCAGTTTCAGCAGCACCTTAAGCCGAAGGATCCCTCAGTTCAACACCCTCGACTCCAACATGACGTACTCACAGGTACTGTGTCTGAACACAAGGGTATAAGGGGCATCGAACCAGTAACACAAACATAAATCATTCCCTTAATGGAGTCAACCATTAGGTCAGTATGGAGAAGCAAGTTATAAATTATGTTCCAAAACCTATTGAGCTGGCATTTTAAATGGCGCTTTTCCACTGCATGGTACGGTATGGTACGGCTCGCTTCGGCTCGCTTTAAATGGTACCACCTCTGTCGAGGTTCCAAGCGGTCCGTACCGATACTAAAATGTGACGTGAACACACTGCAGATCACTGATTGGTCAGACAGAATCGTCACTACCAACGTCATTGTATTTGCGAGACCTCAAACCCGCTAGATTTAAATAGCCAGTAACAGCCACCGCTGTAGCACCTGTTTTAAAACTACTTGCTTGACTTGCTTGAAGAAAAAAGAAAGAAAGAAAACTTCCAAAAAAGAAATGGCTGAATCATGGTCAGTGGACGAAGTGCAGACGTTCTTCTCGTTGGTTGCCGAGGAGCGGATAAACTATAACGGTCAGACTATAATCCCACCCACTTTGAAGCGGTACTAACTGCAGTGGAAAAGCGAACCGAGCTAAAGCGAACCGAGCCGTGCCATGCTGAGCCGAGTCGTATCACGCAGTGGAAAAGCGAAGCAAGCCGAACCTTGCCGAGCCGAGCCGTACTAGGAGTGGAAAAGCGCCAAAAGTGTCATAAGCACACTCCCATTGCAAAACCTGTTCCGAAGGGTTGGCACCATAAAGAATATCCTAAAGAGTATCCTATGTGGTTCATACCCCACACCTTACATTTTCATTTATCTAATATTCTTGGTGGTTTCAGCCAGCAATAATAGCAGGAGTGTCCAATCTTTCATTGTAGCCTGACACATGTTTGTCTGCATTTTTAAATTATCCCAAAGGTGTTCAATGGGGTTCCGGGTAGGTGGTTTTCTTTATTGGCCTTTGTGCAAATGTCCCCGATATAAAACTACTGTACATTTCTTTGGATAAATCATCTGAAAAAATGAAGACTTTCTTCTTTGTCAGAGTTGCATAATGCCTTTCAGACGTCAGCGCATGCTAGTTCACTAACAATACACTGATTTTACGCAGCCGCCATTTTGAAATCGAAAGCGAGGCTCCGGTGGGAAGAACCCCGGAAGTACAGATAAACAACAATGCCTTGGACTACCAACCTGAAGCTGCTGCCGCGATTCACACTATTGGATGTTAATATCCAATATAGGATATTTATATAGTTCGTTCCTGCTTCTTTTTTTACGTTCTGAGTTATAAATAACAAATTAATTTTATTTATAAATAAATTTCACTGTATATAGTCTAAAGAATAACTAATTTTTACATTAAACACAACAATACGCCACCGCATTCACGACTCTCCTATGATTCAAGGCGCCACTTCCGGTTTTCTTCCCACCGGAGCCATTTCAAAATGGCGGCTGCGTGAAATCAGCGTATAGTCTTTCAATGAAGTACTAGAGACTTAGTGACGTATGTGAGGGCATGCGGTTACACTATTTTAAGGTGTCATTGTTACAGTGTAATTATATATTTAAGTACTGAGTAATATTAAGCAACTACATGTACTCACTATAGGGATAGGGTAGGATTTGGTTGAGGGTTAGTTGCATGATATTATGCATACTTTACTATTATTACTATGGCAAAGTACATGCAAAGACACTGTAAAATAAAGTGTTACCGGCAATGCTAACAAGTTTGTATACAGGGTGAAGTATAACAGAGAAAAATGACCATGAGAAACTTCTCTTTACAGGCAACGCTTCAGTCCACAACTAGAGGCCGGACCAAGATTCTGCGGCGTCTTGAGAAGAAGAAGCAAGGTGATGGGACGTTCAAGATTTCCGAAGACGGTCGAAGGAGTGTTCGCTCGATCTCTGGTCTTCAGCTGGGTAATGACGTCATGTTCATGAAGCAGGGTACATACGTCAGCCCACGCCAGCAGTCCAATCCTCGACTCAACATCCGTAACATGTTTTCTGGTGAACAGGACATAAGGGAAGATGAAGATGATGATGAGGTAGACACTGTTTCCCACGCACTCAGTGATCCGGGTCTATTTGATGCTGCATACTCCGAAATAAGTACGGATTCCGGTCGGGATTCTTTGTTCAACCGCCCAGGACTCGGTACCATGGTATTCCGTCGCAATTACGTGTCTGATGGGCTGTTTCGAATGGGACGGAATGAGGGTAGCGTGGTGGGGAGTGAACCAGTGGGACGAGTCCCGAACGTCCGCTTACGAGGGAGATTGCCCCTACGGTCACCCAGTCTTGATGACGTCAGCATAGGCAGCTCATTGAGCCTCCAAGAGAGGAATTTACAGGTACAAACAAAAATCAGCAGATAATACCACTTGTTCTACCACCTGAGCTAGACTTTTACTATTGACTGTCTTGTACTTGCACTACATCAGGGATGGGCAGCTCTGGTCTTGGAGGTCCACTATCCTGCAGTTTTTAGCTTTTTTTAGGATTTAGGGTATTTAGGATATAGCTAAACTCTGCAGGACAGTGGCTCTCCAGAACCAGATCTCCAAAAACCATGCTCATATGTGCTTGCTGAACATTTTATTTCAGTGCCAAGGGCATTAATAGGGAGTTGGTTACAGCTTCCACTCTTATAGGAAGCTTTTACGTTAAATTGTAGAACATGACTGCAGGGATTTACTCCCGATCAGACGCAGTCCGGCACTGGATGTTTTGCAACATAACTCAGTCTGCATTTCCTACTCATCCCAAATGTGTTCAAAAGGGGTTCTGGGCAGGGGATATGTGAAGGCCATTCAAATTCTTCCATACTATAAAATAATTTCTTTATTGACCTTTATGCATCATGCTGGAACAGAAAAGGGCCCTATTTTAGTATAGTTGCCGATGGAGATTACATGCCTGCATGCTTGACTTTATGCTTTTCTTAGTAAGCTAAAACATGCAAACCTGTTAAGTAAAAGTGGATGTCCAGAGACTTTGATAGTTCTAATGTTGGCGGTGTCCTGTAGGATTTGCCATGGGAGGAAGGAGACCTCGGTTTGGAGGAGGAGGATGACGAGCTACAGCCATCATCGGCTCCTTTGGAAGTGTTCCTGGCATCTCAGGGACTGAGTGACTTCTTGTCCATCTTCAATCGAGAGCAGTTGGACCTGGAGGCGCTGCTGTTGTGCTCTGAGCAGGACCTCATTAGCATTCACATCCCACTCGGACCCCGCAAAAAACTATTGGATGCGTGCAAGAGACGCAACAATGTTATCAACAGAGCTGACGGCATGCAAGACACTATGCTGTAAAAGAGTGTGTGTATGTCTGTTATTGACTCTGTTCCAAAACCTAGTGTACTCCCTTGCTCACTGCATAGGCGGCTGCTTTTTAAGGCAGCATCTCAGCTAAACTGTATCCTAACAGGCTGCAACTTAACACGGTACACAAATAGTGCTTCTCACGCAAAGTGCATGGGAGACTTGACTCCCAGCTGATACATGATACCCAAAGGAAAGGTAAATCAATTTTAATTAGAGTATTTTTATCAGTACTACTTTATAACCAGCATTTCTCTCAACTTGTCCACCATTTTGGATGTATTATTTCTCTGAGCTCGTTGCATTCTAGGATTTCTTTCTCTGCAAATTATACACGTGATGCTGTCTGAGAATCTGGCCAAAGCAATGTATTTCAGGAGGCGGTATAATAATGCTAAGATAATTACACTGCCTACTTTTTTGAACCACTTCTCGGCAGGAGATAGTATGAGGTCTCAATTGACCCTGTTCATGAAATGTGCATCCCCAGTCTTAAGGTGCATTTACATCATTTCACAGGCATCTTATGGTCATATTATTCCAAATAAAAAATGTGTTTGGCTTAGTATTTCTAAGCAAAATACATTAACTTGCTCTTCCTCTCAAATTACTTTGTTTTCCTGCTAGCATCTGCTATTGAATAATATTAATATAGCCAAATCCTACTTATGCACTGTTTTAGTAAACTTGTTCTGATTACATTCTGTTATTCAATGCTCTGTCTAAAACCTGTTCAGTCAATACCAGACTGATAAAATCAAGTTCCATCCTTCTCTTCTAATTACAAATCCTGTTTCATTTTGAAATGTGTGACATTGCGGAAGTATCATGGGCTGCACAATGCAATTCACATATTTAAAATGCTTCTTATACCTGCATTTGGAACTGAGCCATTGTGCGTGTGTGCGTGCGTGTGTGTGTGTGTGTGTGTGTGTGTGTGTGTGTGTGTGTGTGCATGAGTGAGTGAAACAACTGCCTCCCTGTGGCTGGGAGAAAAACTACAGGTCTTCAATACGGTCTCACGTCACTTCTATCCAGCTATTCCTGCTCACAAAGAGGTTATATTTGGAGAATGAAGTCGTCATGCGATTATGAATACCCTTTTAGTTTTGTGGTATAATTTGCATAAACTCTTACCAGCTTGAGGTTTATCAAAGACACTGTGGTTCCTGATTCACTCTGTGAATTGTCATGCATATGGATACTGTATTTTAAGACTAATGTAAATTAGAGTAATATGCAGTAATAATTAGCATTTTCAACTCAATTCATGACAACCCAGCCTAAATATGACAGTTAACACAGATATGCTAGTGATGGAGCAAACAAATCTATATATCAGGTCTTTAGTTTCCCACATTTTCCCAGATTATGTTAAATAGTTTTTTATTAATTTAATGTACCTCAGTGGAAAACTAATAAACTTTTCGATCAAAAAGTCTTTAAGATCATACATCCAGGTCAGATGTGTCCAAACTTGACTTGTATATGCAAACATTATATCATTTTTGCACTTTGGAACTGAATTCATATGCATTCAATGTTTTTTTTTTTATATTTGGGATTATGTTTAGTTGTGCATACATACTGTACATGGAGCTTTGGACAGCATCGATGTCCAGCCAAAACACATTGCAGTTTGACTCATGGGAAATTTACAGCATTCTGAGGATGATAATGATTGCATACTATACTGACTCCATCTGAGAGATGTGTGTGTGTGTGTGTGTGTGTGTGTGTGTGTGTGTGTGTGTGTGTGTGTGTGTGTGTGTGTGTGTGTGTGTGTGTGTGTGTGTGTGTGTGTGTGTGTGTGTGTGTGTGTGTGTGTGTGTGTGTGTGTGTGTGTGTGTGTGTGTGTGTGTGTGTGTGTGTGTGTGTGTGTGTGTGTGTGTGTGTGTGTGTGTGTGTGTGTGTGTGTGTGTGTGTGTGTGTGAGAAATCTCTTCCTTGGCCATGTGATGTTTGTACAGTTTCATAGATGTACTGTTTCGGTTCTGTGTTTGCCATTGATCGAGCGCAGTCAAAGCTTCTGGCTCAGTGGGTGACATGTTTGTTCTGGATACTGTGTTCCTCTGCTATCTGCTCATTTATGGGTGTGTGTGTGTGTGCAGCAGGTTTGAGACTGACATGCTGAAAGCTGATATAACTCTTGTTACTTTATCTGTCTATACAAACACACTCCATCTCCATCTGTACATGCACACCTATAGCTACACACTGCTGTCCCGACTCACATTTATGGTAGTATGTTCGATGCAAATGTAATGCTTTATTTGTTCCTGTGTGTTTTTCTCGCTTTTACATGGTAACTCATTCACAAAACACGAGCAGAACAAATTTCTGTGTTAATGTTTTCTAAACCCATTCTTGTGTAAGTATTCACATTATTTTGGGTTGTAAATTGTAAATGTAAAATGTTTAATACAAAAATGTCTGTGCAAGTAATTCATAAAACATAAAAAAAGCAACTTCTATCTTTGCAAAATAAGAGGATGAGGGATTTAAAGCAAGACATTCATTTGTTTTGCATTATGTTTCATGATTGTTTTGTTTTTGCTTGTACTCTTTCCTCCCATCTTTTGAAGTCTTGCATTTTTTATGATACTCGAAATATAATTATTTCATGATTGTCTCTGACTATTCCAGGTCATATTTCAGCCTATAAAATCAAAAGAAATATGAACCAGACTAATTTTCAGGGAAGCCAAATGCCAATATGTTCAGTGACAAATTGTGGATAGTTGTGTTACAATGTTAATTAAATAAACTTGTCATTATTACCATTGTGAACTGACCTGTGTTTGAGTTATTGATGTTTGTTTGTATTTTAACATTGTTTGTGTTCAGTGTACTGTATAGAATCGCTCACATCCTTCCTGCTTTTCTTTTTCTTTCTTTCTTTTCGCTCTGACCCTCTATTCTTTTGCTTCAACCTTTCTTTTGTCTTCTGCCAAGTAAAGTAAAAGAGAGAGAGGAGGGAGAACAGGGTTTGTAAATACATGAGCGAGTCCACAGATAAGAGAGAGTTTATTCTATAGCTGTATGAGGAGTGTTATCTGTGTGTTCAGGACACAACGTCCCCTCATGGATAATACCAGAAATCTGTCCTTGTGGGAACATTTTAGTCCATAAGAGGAAAACAGCTTATAAATCAAACTAAATTATGTTTTTTGAAAATTTAAAAATGCATAGGAATCTGTGAAAGGTAGTTTTAGGGGAAATAATATATACAGTTTGTACAGTATAAAAATTATTATGTCCTATAAAACTTACGTGTGTGTATACAGTACCTGATATTCCCTACTTTACATCCCCACAAGGAAAGTAATAGGCCTACCAGTAAATTTAGACTTTATATGTCCTTTTTTGTAATCCCCATGAGGGAAATAGAGTATAAATCATACATAATTAAAATGTAAAAATGCAGAAAGTGTTCTGTGATGGGTAGGGTAAGTGTAAGGGAGAGAATATACAGTTTAGTATAAAAAACAATTAGGCTATGTCAAAGGAGAGTTCCCGTTAAACATTGTGTGTGTGTGTGTGTGTGTGTGTGTGTGTGTGTGTGTGTGTGTGTGTGTGTGTGTGTGTGTGTGTGTGTGTGTGTGTGTGTGTGTGTGTGTGTGTGTGTGTGTGTGTGTGTGTGTGTGTGTGCGCGTGCGTGCGCGCGCCAGTGCTTTAGTGTGTGTGTGTGTGTGTGTGTGTGTGTGTGTTGTTCTTGTGTGTTCTTGTTTTCTTGCAGCCCTGAGGACACTCCTGCCAAAGGCATCACCGTGGGAACGAGAGAGAGAGGAAGAGAGAGAGAGAGAGAGAGAGGAAAGGAGGGGGGGGGTCTTTTCTAGCGCAGTCAGCAGTAAAGTCCCTCACTACCTTGTTTCGCGGACGGGACGGGACGGGACGGTAAGCGGGTACGCGAGCCATGCGTCTCTGAGTCCGAGCACTAGCGCGATCATGAAGAACATCCCCGAGAAGAGGAGCGAGAGCGGCGGCCTGCGCGGCCCCGCGGCCCGGGATGATGATGAGTGCGCGGACGCGGAGCGCGAGACGCTGATGATGGAGCTGGCGCGGCTCGTGCAGGAGAGTGTGCGCGCGAGCAGCTGGTGGGAGAGGAGGGGGGTCGACTGCACCATCCTGACCGCAGCCTTCATCAGTTTACCTGCAGGTAAAGAGAAACACAAGACACTCCTGGCGAATCTCGTACTCAAACATACTCAAACTAGCGTTATTTTGAAGTGCATTGTGTCATTCAATAACAATTAACCGCATTTCCCATTTAAATGCTCATTGCTGTGAGTGATGCTACAAAATCTAATGACTGTGATATTGTTTAAATAGTAAAGTAGTAACCTATTTGTATTGTTTGTTTGGTGATTTTAATTTATAATTATTTAGTGAGAAATAAGATTTAAGTGGATAAAAATGTCACAATGCAATTATTATTTTTTTAAGTACAATCAGCTTGGATGTTTAAGTCATTTCAACTTAAATTTAAAAAAGAGTTGAATCTTGCATAACTTAAAAAAATTAGAAGATTGCTTAGCTTATTTTGATGAGTTAAAGCCATGTGGAAACACATGTTGTCATAACTTATTGTTATAACTTATATTTATTTGTTTATGTATTACAAATATAATTTTTGAAATAAGTATTTTAAAATATTTTTGTTTTGTTTTGGAAATGTTTTTTGACATTCACACATTAAAGTGTGTGTTTTATATTATGGGTGTATCATAACACGTAACTTTGTGTATAAAAAGCCTGTTTGAGAGTATGAAGGTGTGTAATGTTATAACAGGGAGTGTTTTGAATAATGTGCAATTCAAATTAATTGTTTAGTGTGCAGTCCCAGGGTGTGACAGTGTGTCAGATGGTTATTGGGTTAACTTCGGCTTAAAAATGACACAGAAACTCAGCAGAAGTCTATAATGCTTCAGTTTTGTGCCAAAGGTGCGTTCACTTTGGATCCATAAAGCTTTAAACCTTTCAGACATTGGCTACGGTTTACGGCTCCTGTGGGGTCGTCGTCATGGCGACCGGTTGGGTTTGAGTCCTCTCTCCCATAGGGAAGATCCAGTTTCCTTCACAGTGACTCGTCTTTCAGGGAGAAACCGATGGCACGACTCCGGCTCCTGCGGTTAAACTGCTTCATTACGAGATTAAAAGATCAAACTGAATCATTTCGGCATCCTTTGAGATTCAGCAGCGTTTCTTCCTCCAGGGTGGCAGTGCGTCTCGACAAAATGATCTGGATGGAGAAAATTATTTACAGAACAAACAAAGCAAAGCAAAAATGAAATATGACACAAACAATATTTTAAAACGGCCTAAACTACGCACACTTTACGAAGAAATGTGGTATCCCTTTAAGGTCTCATTTATTAATGCATTAGCTAAGATCAATATATTTCTTACAGCATTTGTTAATCTTTGATAGTGTTAGTTAATAAAATCTGTTGGTTTATTCGTGTTAGTTCAAAGTGCATTAACTATTGTAAACAGAAACTTGGAACAAACTAAAAATGGATTAGTGAATGTTGAAATTACCTTAAAATATAGCATTTAGTAATCATGTTAATATTAACTAATATTAGTAAATGATTAATATCCAAATACACAAAAAA